GATTATTTTTACACTGTGGTATTGCTGCTTTTACTTACCGGTGCGTAAAAAAGTAATCTGAGTACTTTCACCACTGGAAGTCATTAATAGAAAAGTGCATTAATATCAAAGTTAACACAGAGCGCAGAAACCAACATCTATCAAACACAGGGGTTATATTCCCTCTTTATTTACGACAGTTTCTGAATATTTTGTTTGAATCATGTAGTCATCTTGACAGAATTATTGTGAACACACTCCAGTTTGCCTATCACTGTTCACCCAAATTAAACCACTATAATTTAAACATTAATGTCACAGTTGAGAACAGACAAACCTGCTGGCTATCGCTTATATTCACTTTATCTAGTAACACAGTTTCGGTCTGTACTTTGTGTGCCAGAGCTGAAGTTGTTGAAATTAGCTTTGTATGTTCTTTGAAGTTATCTGCCTTCATTTAACACTGGCTGCCTTTAATTTAGCTCCCCTACCAACGCTTTTATTAAGTGCACTGTACCAGCTTTCATGCTCTGTTGGTTCGGCAGCACTACTGTCTCTTATAAAAACCTGCTAATTAAAACTGTAAAAATCACCACTAACATTTTAGGTGTTAAACAAAGTGGCTTTAATGAAAACTACAAAACCTGTGCCCTTTTTCTTTCACCTTAAAACCGCTGCAGTTACAACAAAAGGAGGACAAGGATTCTATTTACAGTGTGTGCTCACATGCATCACATTTTACAGTACACACATAAACCAACTAATCTGTTTGGATAGTGTAACTATCTCTCAGGCCATATCCATCTGTATCACGTATAAGGTGTAGCATTACTGAAGTAAATCTAATCCCTTGTCACCATTTGTTTGCACACACACGCACCCAAATTTCAAGTTTAAAGTTCTTGATAGTCAAGTGCAAAACAATTACAGAAGCAGTCGCTGGCAAAAGTAAAATAAGAATCTAAGACATAAAATCTCAAGGATGTCAAGGTGCAGCCAGGGAGAGGAAGGGGTCCAGTTTGGGGACCTCAGAATTGCATCTCTACTTTTTGCAGATGATGTGGTTCTGTTGGCTTCATCACACCGTGACCTCCAGCATTCACTGGGGCAGTTTGTAGCCGAGTGTGAAGCGTTCAGGATGAGAGTCAGCATTTCCAAATCTGAGGCCATGGTTCTCTGCCGGAAATCGGTGGATTGCCCTTGCCAATGGTGGACTGGGAAAGAGTTACTGCTCCAAGTGGAGGAGTAGCTTGGGGTCTTGTTCACAAGTGAGGATTAAATGGAGCGTGAGATGGATCGGCAGGTTAGTGCGGTGTCTGTAGTGATGCGGGCGCTGAGCTGGACTGTTGTGGTGAAGAGGAAGCTGAGCCAGAAGGCAAAGCTTTTGATTTACTGGTCGATCTATGTCCCAACCCTCACCTATGGTCATGAGCTCTGAGTAATGGCTGAAAGAATGAGATCGGGGATACAAGAGGCTGAAATGAGTTTCCTCCGTGGGGTGCCTGGGCTCAGGCTTAGAGATAGGGTAAGGAGCCCGGACATCCAGAGGGAGCTCGGAGTAGAGACGCTGCTTCTTTGTTTCGAAAGGGGTCAGTTGAGGTGGTTCAGGCATCTGATCAGGATGCCTCCTAGGCGCCTCCCGTTAGAGGTCTTTCAGGCACGTCCAACTGGTAGGAGACCCCAGGGTAGACCCAGAACACGCTGGAGGGATTACATATCTCATCTGGCCTGGGAACACCTTGGGGTCCCCCAGGAGGAACTGGAAAGCGTTGCTGGGGAGAGGGACGTCTGGAATACTTTGCTCGGCCTGCTGCCTCCTCAACCTGGCTACAGATAAGCGGTTGAAAATGGATTGATGGACATAAAGTAGTGACATAAAGTTAAAATATAGGGGCTAAAATATAAGCATGCATTTCATTAAAACCCACATGCCCTACATATACAGTGCATACGTACCTCTATACAAAATAGATGAACAAAACAATAGTTATGTGCATTCATTGCAAAACTAAAGCTGACTTATAAACATAATAATCTTACACTAAATGTGGGCTCCTGGAGATTTAACAGTGTTTGTTGATGTAACATCTGGTTAGTTTATTTATCTAGACTATTCAGTTGTTTGCAGCTCCTCTGAACAGCGAGGTCATCCTTTACCCTGCAGCTACTTTTTTTGTTGTTGTGTTGAATTGTATAATACAGGCTTTTCATTACCTTGGCCCATGTGGGGCACGAGGTCACGCTTATGAAAATCCCAGCTGATCTTTCCCACGACGAAAGCTTGTGTGTCACAGTTTCAATATACAGTTATTATACACCGTTGCCTTACTGCAGTATTGTGCCCAGAACCAGTTCTTACAGCTCACAGCCCTGCAGTTGATTTACGAGAGCTGTAATGATGCTCTCTCCTTTTACACCAGCAGCTCTTGGATGAGCACCAAAATATCCTTGTTGGATTTATAATTTTGACATTGCTTGTTTCTGTAATGTGACACTGATATCATCGAGTTTTTCTTAGATGTAACACATACAGTAGCTTTTAGGCCTTTTAGATCACTTTTAGAGAAACCTTTAAAACTTTGCCGCTATTTCTACCAGAATGTTTTGTCCTCCATCTCCTGTTACAGTTTATCCTCATTTGCTTGAACACATCTGTCCACTCTGAATTACATTTTCAAAACAGTTTACACACAGGTCTAAACTTAAGGTAGACACAATGGCATGCGACAAGAGCAAATCAACTCGTGGTCAAGGTATTATAACAGAATGCAAAATCAATATGAACCAGTTTAACCTCTATCTGTGCTATATGGTGAGCCATTTGTTGATACTTTAAAGAAAGAAAAACATTTTCTGACAAAATTTTCTTTCTTAATTTCATTCTTATGTGCAGGTATTTCTGTGTATATTAAGTGTAACTGACATGTAAGACCTACAGTGAACACCTAGACTAGATAAATTCAGACATTCATCATGGTACAGCTTTTGCACTGCCTTCTGTCTTCACCAAAGAACCAATGAAAAACATCAACCAAACTCAGAAATACTTTTTTTGGATCAGTTTTTCCATATCGTTCTTTTATGCTGGGCTGCAGCACTCAGGGCCACACAGTGAGCAGTAGTTAGCATTGTCACCTCACAGCAAGAGGATTCCAGGTTTGAACCCAGGGTGGGGAGTTCGAAACTTGGGGATTGGGGAGCCCTTCCGTGTGGAGTTTGCATGTTCTCCCAGTGTCAGTGTGGGTTTTCTCCAGCTTCCTCCCACAGTCCAAAATGGTTGTCTGTCTCTATGTGTCAGCCCTGTGATAGTCTGGTGACCTGTCCAGGGTGTACCCTGCCTCTCACCCAGTGGCAGCTGGGATAGGCTCCAGTGTCAGTGTCACTCACACTGGAGTACTCGAATAGAACAGAGCCATCGTTAGTGTTATTAGTAACACCTGTGTTCTTGCTACTATTACATATCAAAATGTTTGCTGAGAGAAAGGCCTTTTGAGTACAGACAGGGAGTCGCCACCAGAGGGCGGTGTCAGTACATCACATCCTCACTGCTGCTCTCACTATAGATCTTGAGCCGAGCTCCACAGCCAGTCCTTTATCTGATATTTGTGTGCCCTCAATGTGAGGGTTACGAAACCAGTGCGCCTGTTTGTGTATGTAATTCTGGCTTAGTGAGGCTGAATCATGTCATAGACTCATAAGTGAAACAAGGAAAGGGGAGAAGAGAGATGTAGGGAATTTAAAGGTCCAGTGTGTAGGATTTAAGGGAATATACTGGCAGAAATTGAATATGGTAAGTATGTTTTCTTTAGTGTATAGCCTGAAAATAAGAATTGTTGTGTTTTCGTTACCTCGCTCTAAAAAATAATATAACAATATGCATGCATCTTCTTCTTCTTCTTCTTCTTCTTCTTTATAATCTGACAAACTCAATTAGTTTAGTGCAACCAATGTGATTTGCTTTGACCTTGAAAAACCTAATTGAGTTGAATCAACTTAATATTTATACAAAAGTTGTGTTGATATTTAGTGGTCAAATTATTTCATTTAAGATATTCTAACAGTCAAAAATGTGCTTGATTTTGACAAACTTCTTAAAATAAGCTGTCAACTGAATAAAATGTGTTAATGAAACAAACTCAATTTTTTTCTGAAAAATTATTTAAAGTGTTATCAACTGAATCCATGAATCATTTTTTTAGAGTGTAGGGAGCAGGTCCTCATTTACAGAGATCATGTTGCACCACCATGTTTCTACAGTAGCCCAGAGTAGACAAACCAAACACTGGCTCCAGATAGGGTAATTTGTGCTTTTGCGAAACACGTTTTCATGTTTTTGCACTGGCTGCTGTAGTTAGCAGCCCCTCCTTGACAAACAGTGGTGGAAAAACATGAATTTTTACTGGGTTACATCACTGAATTTGTTGGTTTGGAGAGGAAGAGACCTCAGCAGATAATTTAAATGTCTGTCTCTTAAGTCCACGTCCCAAACAGGGTAGGAGAAACGCTGTAAAATTAAATAGCTATATTCAGTGTTTTTACTGGTTTTAATCACCTGGCTCTGAACCCCTTGAACAATGAACACTGAAGGAATTTGAAGTGGGTGATGTTTCAGCTGGTTGTAATCTGCGATCCTCACCACTAGGTGCCACTAAATCCCCCTAAATCTTACACACTGCTCCTTGAAGAAAAAGAAAAAAGCAAGAGTGGAGCAAATACAAGGAAAGAAAAGAGTAAAGGAGAAGAGGAGGGTTTCAGAAGAGCCAATCCAACACTCAGCTGGGGGCTGAATAAAATCTCCTCAGGATGATTAGACAGAAAGGCAATAATGTGTATGTGTGTGTGTGTGTGTGTGTGTGTGTGTGTGTGTGTGTGTGTGTGTAGCTACTGATACAGACACTTCAAAGGCAAAGTGTGAAACCTTAATGTACGGACAAAAAAAAAATGAGAGAAGTTTGTGGAGCTGCCGAGAAAAATGTGTGTGTGTGTGTGTGTGCGCGTGTGTGAATAATTGAGACTCGCTGTTCCCTTTAATAGACTTTATTAAAGATCTTTATAGAGATGTTGTGATTCTGTTAAAGTGCCTCCTGGGAAACGTTCCCTCACAGCTGGCTTAGTCAAAAAAACAGGAGTCATACAGGAGTCATACAGCACATAGATTACCTTAAATATGATTTATGCAATTGTGCCATTCACATATGGTCCCTAGATACCATAAATACTTTGTTTACATAAGTCTTATATATATATTTTACTGCCATAGTACACATCCATTTACAATGGAAGAAAGAAAGGTGAACATTGTGCAAAGACACAAACAGGAACTCTTTATACAAGATATTCCACTGAGTTCCCATTACATTGAGAATATGTATTACAATTAATATATAATATATTACAGTAAATGCATTAGGATTCAGACAGATACTACAATACTTTCTTCCCAGTCTCTAGAGGACAGTACATTCTCACATCCTTGTGCTATTCTCTAAAATAAAAGACCGGCGCAACGGCCAGAGGATTATATAGACTTCATTCTTAATCTCATCAGAAGGCCAGCCAGTCATCTCAAAACATTCGGTCAAAAAGACTCACAATCACAGAAAGGAACACACCATAGAAATTGCATCGCAGTCAAGGGTCAATAGGTAACATTTTACAAACACCTATAATCTATAAGAAGTTCTATATGAAGGACGATGGATTGCTCTGTTCCCGATTCACTTTCTTTGGCTGACAGGAATCACCAACACGTTCCCACTGCCAACTCGTGAAATACTGCCTCTTTAACAGTGGACACACATGTTAAAATATGATGCGCTAGGTGTCTTCCTGCGTCTGTTTTGGATGTTCTGGGATAGTGTGTCAGTTTACGTTTGTTACATGTAAGTTTATTCTGAAAAAGACAAACAGAAACTGTACATTTCCCGTGAAAATGAAAGTGTATTTTGAGAAGATAGAATGCGACGTTGGTAAAATACTTTGTTTTAAGGTTAATTTTCCTGACATTTAGGCAAGACGAGCATGTCAAAATTCAAACGGGAACCATACAGCAGGCTCCTGGGTGAAAGTCCAAAGTTTGTTGGCATTACAAACCACTGCTGACTTCTGTCTATCATACCACCCAGAGGGTGCCTCTCTGTGTCTGCTGATAAAGCGCCAATATTTGACGAATTGGGTTGTTGCCTGCTGCCTCTAAAGGCTCATTTATACCCCCTTTACATATGAAAATAGATACATCCATTTTAAATGTTGTCACGTATGATGGCATAGATACAGCCAATAGGTGGCACTAGAGGGCAGAGTCATAAATAGCAGTTGTTGACGCAACAATGGGGAGGAGGTCAGAATATTGTGCCTTTAAATGGAGGCAGCTCTGGTCTGTGCAGCCATTATATACATCCCAACATGTGGAAGGAGTGTGTATCGGTCACTGACGTTGAAATCACTGACAAAGGGGTGGTATTTGAAGACTGGGTTGTTGCCTGCTGCCTCAAAATGCTCATTTATACTACCATTAAGCATGAGTCTACATACATCTGTTTCAAATGTTGTAAACGTCACTGCCGTCATACCTTCATGCGTCCTTTATGATGGCATTGATACAGCCAATAGGTGGCACTAGAGGGCGGAGTCAAAAAACAGTTGTTCACACAACAACAAACATGGCGTCAGTGGAGGAGGTCAGAATATTGTACCTTTAAACGGAGGCAGCGTTGTAGATGGCGGTGGTCTGTGTGGCCATTATATACATCCTGACATGTGGACGGAGAGTTCCTTTCAATATTTTCTGATGTTAATATATATTACTGATTCGCTCCGTTCCTCCATTATTTGAATTTCCTTCGTAGTCTCCTTCGATCACCTTAACTGTGGTGGTACTGCTCTGTTTCATCTGTTTCTGTGAGCTTTCAGAAAACATGCACAAATATGGACAAAATGAATGCAGAGTACGTCCATCTCTGTATCTATCTATCTGCCGCCAAAGGTGCCAGTGTGTGATGGTTTCTGACGCCAAAATCACTGAAAAAGTGGCGGTATTTGGCAAGTTGGGAGTGAGAACAGGCTGAAATAACTACAAATAAACTTTACCCAAGTTCCTGTGATTTCATTTACAAATGTATTACCATGTAATACACATAAAGATACATTTACAATAAAATACCTGAATCTGGCAACAGTGGAAATGCAATAAATATTACTTCTTATATATATAATCAAATATTTTTAAAAACACATATCACGTGATTGCATGAAAACAGACAACGAGCCAGCGTTTTACGAGTTAAAAGTCGTCACAGACTTGAGACAGCTGCAGACATATTAAATCTTAAAGTTCTACGAGGGAAAATATTGCAGACTGTAGATCAGGTGCTGGAGTGTGTCTAAAAACTCTCAGCCTGGTACCTATGGTGTGCACGTTAGGTCATAATAAGCTTATTTTTAACACAGCTTAAAATACATGACAGGATACACACCTGCACGCACGCACGCACGCTTGCACACACACTCACACACACACTGCTTCAGGGGCACTGGTTTAGGACAAATAGGTCGGTGCACTGAGATTAAATATATGTACACAGCTGAAGCACCAATGATTCAATCATGTGTAGCAAATGTATGATACAGCAGAATAATTTAATGATAGTTTGTTATATTCCCATCTGTGCTTTTCTCCCTTTCAGTGTTTGACCACGCACACACAAACACACACACACACACACACACACTCAGGCACACAGACATTAAAAGACAAATTACATTGGACGAGATTACACACACAGACGTTACAAGATTCCACATCACACACACACACATTAGAGCGTGTTGTACCTGGAGGCTTCAGGTACGTCTATATTTTCTCTAGAGGAGGAACTATGTGGGACACTCAGAGTCTCTGTCATTGTTAGCTTCTCTTCCGTCGGAGAAACAGTCAGAGTGCTTCAGACGGAGACAGACTGGAACTTAAAACACGTCCTGTCATTATTCTGTCTGCAGCACCATGAATGTTTCACCTCATTTGCCTCAGAAATACATCAGATAGAAGACTGCAGCTTCGCCCTCTGGCCCCCAGAGCGGCGACGGCTGAGAGGTCTACAGGTCTTGACCGAGCCTCTCGATCTCATCGATGAGGAAGTCAATGTCTGACTGGGTGGCTGCCAGGTTGGAGACAACCATGCGGAAGAAGTTGACATGTTTGCCCTGAGGCTGGTAACCCACCATGGTGGTCCCGGACTCCATCATCATGGCTTTGATCTTTGGTGCCACCTGGTGGAGTTAAAAAAAAAGACAAATTAGAGATCACAGTGTTTTTAGTGGCTAAAAAGCATCAGTTAATACTGACGCCACTTTTTTTTTAAACTACATCAGCTCAGTTGAGAGAGGGAAATGTTGGCATTGTTCTTCAAACCACAAACATGCTACATTTGCACGTGTCATACATAACTAAATGTCTAAAGTGATGTGGTATATGAGCTGACTTTGTCATCTGGAGGTGGAGGGGATAGTGGATGGTGTGAAACCTTAGCCTGTTTTCATTCCCTGGGCGTCAAATACTGCACCTTTGTCATGAGCGTGATATCAAAGCCGAAGGCAACCTTCAGTGTCTTCATGAGCCACACCAGGCCGTGGGTCAACTAACTAGTTGACGCTGAGAGCAGCTGATGTAGTACAAAGAGTGAGAAAGTTCACATAGGGTGGGCAGGAGGGGTGGAGGACTGGTCAAAAAAAACAAACCTTTAGCCATGAAACTGCAGGTCAGTCAGCAACACTTTAGTCAAAGAAAACTTTATCTCCATTTGCAGTATTATCATTGGCGGTATGGCTCTGTTCTGGGGCCTCTCTGCCTATGCAGAAAGCCTCTTCCACACGCATACGTGAAAAGCCGGGTGTAGGTGGTGAGTGCACACTTCCCTGCCCTTCCACGTGCAAACAAGGAAATCCTGTGGCAGACAGAGCAAACCTCTCTGCCTTTCCTAGGCCTATGCAGAAAGCCTCTTCCACGGGCCTACGTGAAAAGCCTGGTGTAGGTGGCAAGTGCACACCTCCCTGCCCTTCCATGCGCCTACATGGAAAGCCTAAGAACTTTTTGTATAGACCCAGTTGAATATTGCCATAAAAGTGTGTAGTTATCACAAAATCCCAAGGCACACCTGGATTGGCATCACAGCACACCATTGTGCTGCGGCACACCATTTGAGAATCACTGCGCTACGAATGTAACATATCCATGGTTTGCAGAAACGTTTTATGCCAACAATTTCCTCTGGCGATTGCGTTGCTTTTCATACGGTCTGCATTACCAACATGCATCGTGACCAAACAGTTAATCTGACATCCAAAACTCACTCAAACCACCAAGACACTTCATACATGTCTCAATATGAGCTCATTCGACCTTCACACTGGCAACAGTTGTCACTCAGCATACACCGTCACTCATAGCACACTGACCTAAAAAGCACTTACAACAGGGAGCATCACATAAAGGATGAACTCCTCTATCTTTAAAGATACAGCTAAAAGCTCATTTCCGCCAGCGATGCAACGGCTGATAAAGTAAAAGATAACAGTCACTGACAGGAGTCTTACCCTGTGCAGTTTTTCTCGCCGCTCCTCACCGTCAGGCATGCCTCTCAGGCTGGGCGGGATGTACCAGAAGCAAACATTGGTGTGCTGGGGCTGCGGACAGAATTAAACACAGGTCATATACACACACAAATACAGCGAGGCTAAACGCCAAGCGGACTAAGCTCGCTGAAAAAAAGAGAAAGAAAATTGTACCAGCTCACCTCTCCATCAAACACCATCTGATACCCCTCCCTGTTCTTGATCTTGTTGTACAAATACTGAGACAGCTCCAGACACTTGTCAATGTGCTGCTCAAACCCAATGGTGCCCTGAAGGGAACAAACATTAACAGAAAACAGTATGAAGCCACAGCATGACTGTTTCTATGACGGCATTTATATGAATTGTTTAAAGAGCAATATGTTTTGATGTGTGTGTGTGACTCTGTCCATTTCACCTTGGCCTTCCACATGAGCCAGAACTTAAAGATGTCGACGTGTCGGCCACACTGGATCGCTTTGTCGCCTGTGTCGTAGGTGACGTCGTATTGTTTGTCTGGTTGGAACAGGTAGCCTGCACACATGGAGTTACAGCCTGCCAGGATCCCCTACAGACACACATAAAATACACACCGTTAAAGGTCAAGTGTGTAGGATTTAGTGGCATCTAGCAGTGAGGAGAGCTGAAACTCACGTGTGTCAAGTGTGTGGGTGAACTGCTTTACGCAAAAACGCAAATGGCCCTATCTAGTTCTGGTTGTTACTAGTTGTACTGCTTACATTTTGAAGTACCATTCCCTGCTGTAGAGTGAGTGACTAACACACAGCTGCTTAACAGAGACAGCAAACCAGCTCGACAACATGACCAAATGTAAGTATGACGCAGAATGTATTAAACTGTGTGGACCTTGAACTAATGACTAAGGAGGAATCTGGACCCCTTGGCTGGACCAGTTGGGAACCACTGGTGTATGGTATGTGTAGATCCTTTAACAGTTTGATGACATATGTGAGGGTTGCCTGTATCAGTTAGTCTGTCTTTGTTTTCACTAAGAGGCCGTTTACACGTTGCCGGCTATTTTCATAAACGGACATTTCACCGTCTCCGTTTTCAAAAAGATCTTCGTTTACACTTACCCGTGTATATACATACAAGAGCATGCCAAACCTGTAGGTGGCAGTGTAACGAGAAGCTCAAGCCTTCCATGTATCCATTGTCACCATAGCAACATAGGTCGCACTTTTGACACAGGTGCAAGTTCCGGCGCATACTGTGACGTGGGCTGCCTATAACTCCGTTTATCTCCNTAAAGAATAGAGAATTATGAGAAGTAAGAATAAGACTATGATATAGAAGTATATAAATATAAAGCAGTACAATAAGATAGAACAAAAAATGTGCATAATGCTACAATGTTTAATACTGGTACTTGAGATATTAGAAATAAAAATACATATCATCACTGTGATGAGACTGTAAGTGTGTAAAAACATACATATATTTGCACTATGCTACATTACACTGTATTACACTTAGAAATATAACACAAGTATTATGCTATAATATATATCAGTGGAATAAAAACAAGAAAAGAATGAACATAAGAAATATGCATTGTATGTTGAATAAATATATACATTCAAGAGGTGTTGGTAAGAATAAAGTTGTATACTGAAGAACACTGCACAGTTGAATAATTGTACTGTGTATTGTGTATTGTGTATATATGTAATTGGATTACAGGTACTAATCAAAATGTTGGTGATTACAAAGGGTTACATCCAAATACATTATTTTCTGTAAAAAGATTAGAAGTAGATTATAACATTCAGCCTGTTGCTTTGCATCTTATCACCGCGCAGGAGTGACTCCTTTTGGCATACCCTGTTTCCAGACAATTTTCAGGTTTATTGCCAAAATTAAAATATTTTTTAGAAAAGTAAACAAAAAGTAATCAAATGTAATGTTGCTACATTACTTTGATGAGGTAATTTAAAGTGTTACAGTACTTATTACATTTTTAACTAGTGATCTGTAACCTGTCACAACACAGAATATAAAATATGAATATGAAAATATGAATATAGGCTATATGACTCTGAAATGGGCCATTCTGCATATTGATAGCCTACTTTTACTTTTGGCACTTCAATTACATTTGATAATTATACCTACTATACAGGCACTGAATCAGAGTGTTTCAGACAAAGAGTGAATAAAGTATGATTAGGTAGACAGTATGAGAAATAATGTTTTTTGAACATTAACCCTTTGAAACCTGGAGTGACATCACTTTTCTTATTCTGCTTTCAGACACCTTTTGCAATTATTTAAACCTTTGAACCCTGAGCAAACTGGTATGATTTCTTTTTTTTTTTCAAAGATATTTTGTTATTTTGCCTTTAATGGACAGGAAAGTTAAGTTTGAAAGGGGGAGAGACATGCAGCAAAGGGCCACAGGCTGGATTCGAACCCGGGCCGCTGCGGCAACAGCCTTGTACATGGGGCGCCTGCTCTACCACTAAGCCACGGACGCCCCAACTGGTATGATTTCTTTCAAAAATTTGGTAAAAAGGGCAATGAGCAACTTGATATGAAATGTCCCACAAATTGCAAAAAAAAAAAAACTTAATTGATTTAGAAAATTATTAAAAACAAAACATAGGGAAAAAGGGGGGAAAAGCCAGAGAAAAAATATATTTAGATATTTAGAATTATTATTACATTTTAAAATTATGTTACAGAATTATAATTAATTAATTAACTTGTTTATTATTATTATTATTATTATTATTATTATTTACTCATTTCCTTAATTAATTCTGTTTTTGTTTTTACTAATTACTAATTTTTTTGGGTCATTTCTTCTTTCGTTGCTCATCGCCTTCTTCCTATCTTTAAAAGAAAGCAGGCCAATTTGCTCAGATTTCAAAGGGTTAACAGATTCCAGTAGAAAAACTGAACAGAAGTATGAACCTGAAAACAAACTGTTACTTGTTACAGATTATTTTTACACTGTGGTATTGCTGCTTTTACTTACCGGTGCGTAAAAAAGTAATCTGAGTACTTTCACCACTGGAAGTCATTAATAGAAAAGTGCATTAATATCAAAGTTAACACAGAGCGCAGAAACCAACATCTATCAAACACAGGGGTTATATTCCCTCTTTATTTACGACAGTTTCTGAATATTTTGTTTGAATCATGTAGTCATCTTGACAGAATTATTGTGAACACACTCCAGTTTGCCTATCACTGTTCACCCAAATTAAACCACTATAATTTAAACATTAATGTCACAGTTGAGAACAGACAAACCTGCTGGCTATCGCTTATATTCACTTTATCTAGTAACACAGTTTCGGTCTGTACTTTGTGTGCCAGAGCTGAAGTTGTTGAAATTAGCTTTGTATGTTCTTTGAAGTTATCTGCCTTCATTTAACACTGGCTGCCTTTAATTTAGCTCCCCTACCAACGCTTTTATTAAGTGCACTGTACCAGCTTTCATGCTCTGTTGGTTCGGCAGCACTACTGTCTCTTATAAAAACCTGCTAATTAAAACTGTAAAAATCACCACTAACATTTTAGGTGTTAAACAAAGTGGCTTTAATGAAAACTACAAAACCTGTGCCCTTTTTCTTTCACCTTAAAACCGCTGCAGTTACAACAAAAGGAGGACAAGGATTCTATTTACAGTGTGTGCTCACATGCATCACATTTTACAGTACACACATAAACCAACTAATCTGTTTGGATAGTGTAACTATCTCTCAGGCCATATCCATCTGTATCACGTATAAGGTGTAGCATTACTGAAGTAAATCTAATCCCTTGTCACCATTTGTTTGCACACACACGCACCCAAATTTCAAGTTTAAAGTTCTTGATAGTCAAGTGCAAAACAATTACAGAAGCAGTCGCTGGCAAAAGTAAAATAAGAATCTAAGACATAAAATCTCAAGGATGTCAAGGTGCAGCCAGGGAGAGGAAGGGGTCCAGTTTGGGGACCTCAGAATTGCATCTCTACTTTTTGCAGATGATGTGGTTCTGTTGGCTTCATCACACCGTGACCTCCAGCATTCACTGGGGCAGTTTGTAGCCGAGTGTGAAGCGTTCAGGATGAGAGTCAGCATTTCCAAATCTGAGGCCATGGTTCTCTGCCGGAAATCGGTGGATTGCCCTTGCCAATGGTGGACTGGGAAAGAGTTACTGCTCCAAGTGGAGGAGTAGCTTGGGGTCTTGTTCACAAGTGAGGATTAAATGGAGCGTGAGATGGATCGGCAGGTTAGTGCGGTGTCTGTAGTGATGCGGGCGCTGAGCTGGACTGTTGTGGTGAAGAGGAAGCTGAGCCAGAAGGCAAAGCTTTTGATTTACTGGTCGATCTATGTCCCAACCCTCACCTATGGTCATGAGCTCTGAGTAATGGCTGAAAGAATGAGATCGGGGATACAAGAGGCTGAAATGAGTTTCCTCCGTGGGGTGCCTGGGCTCAGGCTTAGAGATAGGGTAAGGAGCCCGGACATCCAGAGGGAGCTCGGAGTAGAGACGCTGCTTCTTTGTTTCGAAAGGGGTCAGTTGAGGTGGTTCAGGCATCTGATCAGGATGCCTCCTAGGCGCCTCCCGTTAGAGGTCTTTCAGGCACGTCCAACTGGTAGGAGACCCCAGGGTAGACCCAGAACACGCTGGAGGGATTACATATCTCATCTGGCCTGGGAACACCTTGGGGTCCCCCAGGAGGAACTGGAAAGCGTTGCTGGGGAGAGGGACGTCTGGAATACTTTGCTCGGCCTGCTGCCTCCTCAACCTGGCTACAGATAAGCGGTTGAAAATGGATTGATGGACATAAAGTAGTGACATAAAGTTAAAATATAGGGGCTAAAATATAAGCATGCATTTCATTAAAACCCACATGCCCTACATATACAGTGCATACGTACCTCTATACAAAATAGATGAACAAAACAATAGTTATGTGCATTCATTGCAAAACTAAAGCTGACTTATAAACATAATAATCTTACACTAAATGTGGGCTCCTGGAGATTTAACAGTGTTTGTTGATGTAACATCTGGTTAGTTTATTTATCTAGACTATTCAGTTGTTTGCAGCTCCTCTGAACAGCGAGGTCATCCTTTACCCTGCAGCTACTTTTTTTGTTGTTGTGTTGAATTGTATAATACAGGCTTTTCATTACCTTGGCCCATGTGGGGCACGAGGTCACGCTTATGAAAATCCCAGCTGATCTTTCCCACGACGAAAGCTTGTGTGTCACAGTTTCAATATACAGTTATTATACACCGTTGCCTTACTGCAGTATTGTGCCCAGAACCAGTTCTTACAGCTCACAGCCCTGCAGTTGATTTACGAGAGCTGTAATGATGCTCTCTCCTTTTACACCAGCAGCTCTTGGATGAGCACCAAAATATCCTTGTTGGATTTATAATTTTGACATTGCTTGTTTCTGTAATGTGACACTGATATCATCGAGTTTTTCTTAGATGTAACACATACAGTAGCTTTTAGGCCTTTTAGATCACTTTTAGAGAAACCTTTAAAACTTTGCCGCTATTTCTACCAGAATGTTTTGTCCTCCATCTCCTGTTACAGTTTATCCTCATTTGCTTGAACACATCTGTCCACTCTGAATTACATTTTCAAAACAGTTTACACACAGGTCTAAACTTAAGGTAGACACAATGGCATGCGACAAGAGCAAATCAACTCGTGGTCAAGGTATTATAACAGAATGCAAAATCAATATGAACCAGTTTAACCTCTATCTGTGCTATATGGTGAGCCATTTGTTGATACTTTAAAGAAAGAAAAACATTTTCTGACAAAATTTTCTTTCTTAATTTCATTCTTATGTGCAGGTATTTCTGTGTATATTAAGTGTAACTGACATGTAAGACCTACAGTGAACACCTAGACTAGATAAATTCAGACATTCATCATGGTACAGCTTTTGCACTGCCTTCTGTCTTCACCAAAGAACCAATGAAAAACATCAACCAAACTCAGAAATACTTTTTTTGGATCAGTTTTTCCATATCGTTCTTTTATGCTGGGCTGCAGCACTCAGGGCCACACAGTGAGCAGTAGTTAGCATTGTCACCTCACAGCAAGAGGATTCCAGGTTTGAACCCAGGGTGGGGAGTTCGAAACTTGGGGATTGGGGAGCCCTTCCGTGTGGAGTTTGCATGTTCTCCCAGTGTCAGTGTGGGTTTTCTCCAGCTTCCTCCCACAGTCCAAAATGGTTGTCTGTCTCTATGTGTCAGCCCTGTGATAGTCTGGTGACCTGTCCAGGGTGTACCCTGCCTCTCACCCAGTGGCAGCTGGGATAGGCTCCAGTGTCAGTGTCACTCACACTGGAGTACTCGAATAGAACAGAGCCATCGTTAGTGTTATTAGTAACACCTGTGTTCTTGCTACTATTACATATCAAAATGTTTGCTGAGAGAAAGGCCTTTTGAGTACAGACAGGGAGTCGCCACCAGAGGGCGGTGTCAGTACATCACATCCTCACTGCTGCTCTCACTATAGATCTTGAGCCGAGCTCCACAGCCAGTCCTTTATCTGATATTTGTGTGCCCTCAATGTGAGGGTTACGAAACCAGTGCGCCTGTTTGTGTATGTAATTCTGGCTTAGTGAGGCTGAATCATGTCATAGACTCATAAGTGAAACAAGGAAAGGGGAGAAGAGAGATGTAGGGAATTTAAAGGTCCAGTGTGTAGGATTTAAGGGAATATACTGGCAGAAATTGAATATGGTAAGTATGTTTTCTTTAGTGTATAGCCTGAAAATAAGAATTGTTGTGTTTTCGTTACCTCGCTCTAAAAAATAATATAACAATATGCATGCATCTTCTTCTTCTTCTTCTTCTTCTTCTTTATAATCTGACAAACTCAATTAGTTTAGTGCAACCAATGTGATTTGCTTTGACCTTGAAAAACCTAATTGAGTTGAATCAACTTAATATTTATACAAAAGTTGTGTTGATATTTAGTGGTCAAATTATTTCATTTAAGATATTCTAACAGTCAAAAATGTGCTTGATTTTGACAAACTTCTTAAAATAAGCTGTCAACTGAATAAAATGTGTTAATGAAACAAACTCAATTTTTTTCTGAAAAATTATTTAAAGTGTTATCAACTGAATCCATGAATCATTTTTTTAGAGTGTAGGGAGCAGGTCCTCATTTACAGAGATCATGTTGCACCACCATGTTTCTACAGTAGCCCAGAGTAGACAAACCAAACACTGGCTCCAGATAGGGTAATTTGTGCTTTTGCGAAACACGTTTTCATGTTTTTGCACTGGCTGCTGTAGTTAGCAGCCCCTCCTTGACAAACAGTGGTGGAAAAACATGAATTTTTACTGGGTTACATCACTGAATTTGTTGGTTTGGAGAGGAAGAGACCTCAGCAGATAATTTAAATGTCTGTCTCTTAAGTCCACGTCCCAAACAGGGTAGGAGAAACGCTGTAAAATTAAATAGCTATATTCAGTGTTTTTACTGGTTTTAATCACCTGGCTCTGAACCCCTTGAACAATGAACACTGAAGGAATTTGAAGTGGGTGATGTTTCAGCTGGTTGTAATCTGCGATCCTCACCACTAGGTGCCACTAAATCCCCCTAAATCTTACACACTGCTCCTTGAAGAAAAAGAAAAAAGCAAGAGTGGAGCAAATACAAGGAAAGAAAAGAGTAAAGGAGAAGAGGAGGGTTTCAGAAGAGCCAATCCAACACTCAGCTGGGGGCTGAATAAAATCTCCTCAGGATGATTAGACAGAAAGGCAATAATGTGTATGTGTGTGTGTGTGTGTGTGTGTGTGTGTGTGTGTGTGTGTGTGTGTAGCTACTGATACAGACACTTCAAAGGCAAAGTGTGAAACCTTAATGTACGGACAAAAAAAAAATGAGAGAAGTTTGTGGAGCTGCCGAGAAAAATGTGTGTGTGTGTGTGTGTGCGCGTGTGTGAATAATTGAGACTCGCTGTTCCCTTTAATAGACTTTATTAAAGATCTTTATAGAGATGTTGTGATTCTGTTAAAGTGCCTCCTGGGAAACGTTCCCTCACAGCTGGCTTAGTCAAAAAAACAGGAGTCATACAGGAGTCATACAGCACATAGATTACCTTAAATATGATTTATGCAATTGTGCCATTCACATATGGTCCCTAGATACCATAAATACTTTGTTTACATAAGTCTTATATATATATTTTACTGCCATAGTACACATCCATTTACAATGGAAGAAAGAAAGGTGAACATTGTGCAAAGACACAAACAGGAACTCTTTATACAAGATATTCCACTGAGTTCCCATTACATTGAGAATATGTATTACAATTAATATATAATATATTACAGTAAATGCATTAGGATTCAGACAGATACTACAATACTTTCTTCCCAGTCTCTAGAGGACAGTACATTCTCACATCCTTGTGCTATTCTCTAAAATAAAAGACCGGCGCAACGGCCAGAGGATTATATAGACTTCATTCTTAATCTCATCAGAAGGCCAGCCAGTCATCTCAAAACATTCGGTCAAAAAGACTCACAATCACAGAAAGGAACACACCATAGAAATTGCATCGCAGTCAAGGGTCAATAGGTAACATTTTACAAACACCTATAATCTATAAGAAGTTCTATATGAAGGACGATGGATTGCTCTGTTCCCGATTCACTTTCTTTGGCTGACAGGAATCACCAACACGTTCCCACTGCCAACTCGTGAAATACTGCCTCTTTAACAGTGGACACACATGTTAAAATATGATGCGCTAGGTGTCTTCCTGCGTCTGTTTTGGATGTTCTGGGATAGTGTGTCAGTTTACGTTTGTTACATGTAAGTTTATTCTGAAAAAGACAAACAGAAACTGTACATTTCCCGTGAAAATGAAAGTGTATTTTGAGAAGATAGAATGCGACGTTGGTAAAATACTTTGTTTTAAGGTTAATTTTCCTGACATTTAGGCAAGACGAGCATGTCAAAATTCAAACGGGAACCATACAGCAGGCTCCTGGGTGAAAGTCCAAAGTTTGTTGGCATTACAAACCACTGCTGACTTCTGTCTATCATACCACCCAGAGGGTGCCTCTCTGTGTCTGCTGATAAAGCGCCAATATTTGACGAATTGGGTTGTTGCCTGCTGCCTCTAAAGGCTCATTTATACCCCCTTTACATATGAAAATAGATACATCCATTTTAAATGTTGTCACGTATGATGGCATAGATACAGCCAATAGGTGGCACTAGAGGGCAGAGTCATAAATAGCAGTTGTTGACGCAACAATGGGGAGGAGGTCAGAATATTGTGCCTTTAAATGGAGGCAGCTCTGGTCTGTGCAGCCATTATATACATCCCAACATGTGGAAGGAGTGTGTATCGGTCACTGACGTTGAAATCACTGACAAAGGGGTGGTATTTGAAGACTGGGTTGTTGCCTGCTGCCTCAAAATGCTCATTTATACTACCATTAAGCATGAGTCTACATACATCTGTTTCAAATGTTGTAAACGTCACTGCCGTCATACCTTCATGCGTCCTTTATGATGGCATTGATACAGCCAATAGGTGGCACTAGAGGGCGGAGTCAAAAAACAGTTGTTCACACAACAACAAACATGGCGTCAGTGGAGGAGGTCAGAATATTGTACCTTTAAACGGAGGCAGCGTTGTAGATGGCGGTGGTCTGTGTGGCCATTATATACATCCTGACATGTGGACGGAGAGTTCCTTTCAATATTTTCTGATGTTAATATATATTACTGATTCGCTCCGTTCCTCCATTATTTGAATTTCCTTCGTAGTCTCCTTCGATCACCTTAACTGTGGTGGTACTGCTCTGTTTCATCTGTTTCTGTGAGCTTTCAGAAAACATGCACAAATATGGACAAAATGAATGCAGAGTACGTCCATCTCTGTATCTATCTATCTGCCGCCAAAGGTGCCAGTGTGTGATGGTTTCTGACGCCAAAATCACTGAAAAAGTGGCGGTATTTGGCAAGTTGGGAGTGAGAACAGGCTGAAATAACTACAAATAAACTTTACCCAAGTTCCTGTGATTTCATTTACAAATGTATTACCATGTAATACACATAAAGATACATTTACAATAAAATACCTGAATCTGGCAACAGTGGAAATGCAATAAATATTACTTCTTATATATATAATCAAATATTTTTAAAAACACATATCACGTGATTGCATGAAAACAGACAACGAGCCAGCGTTTTACGAGTTAAAAGTCGTCACAGACTTGAGACAGCTGCAGACATATTAAATCTTAAAGTTCTACGAGGGAAAATATTGCAGACTGTAGATCAGGTGCTGGAGTGTGTCTAAAAACTCTCAGCCTGGTACCTATGGTGTGCACGTTAGGTCATAATAAGCTTATTTTTAACACAGCTTAAAATACATGACAGGATACACACCTGCACGCACGCACGCACGCTTGCACACACACTCACACACACACTGCTTCAGGGGCACTGGTTTAGGACAAATAGGTCGGTGCACTGAGATTAAATATATGTACACAGCTGAAGCACCAATGATTCAATCATGTGTAGCAAATGTATGATACAGCAGAATAATTTAATGATAGTTTGTTATATTCCCATCTGTGCTTTTCTCCCTTTCAGTGTTTGACCACGCACACACAAACACACACACACACACACACACACTCAGGCACACAGACATTAAAAGACAAATTACATTGGACGAGATTACACACACAGACGTTACAAGATTCCACATCACACACACACACATTAGAGCGTGTTGTACCTGGAGGCTTCAGGTACGTCTATATTTTCTCTAGAGGAGGAACTATGTGGGACACTCAGAGTCTCTGTCATTGTTAGCTTCTCTTCCGTCGGAGAAACAGTCAGAGTGCTTCAGACGGAGACAGACTGGAACTTAAAACACGTCCTGTCATTATTCTGTCTGCAGCACCATGAATGTTTCACCTCATTTGCCTCAGAAATACATCAGATAGAAGACTGCAGCTTCGCCCTCTGGCCCCCAGAGCGGCGACGGCTGAGAGGTCTACAGGTCTTGACCGAGCCTCTCGATCTCATCGATGAGGAAGTCAATGTCTGACTGGGTGGCTGCCAGGTTGGAGACAACCATGCGGAAGAAGTTGACATGTTTGCCCTGAGGCTGGTAACCCACCATGGTGGTCCCGGACTCCATCATCATGGCTTTGATCTTTGGTGCCACCTGGTGGAGTTAAAAAAAAAGACAAATTAGAGATCACAGTGTTTTTAGTGGCTAAAAAGCATCAGTTAATACTGACGCCACTTTTTTTTTAAACTACATCAGCTCAGTTGAGAGAGGGAAATGTTGGCATTGTTCTTCAAACCACAAACATGCTACATTTGCACGTGTCATACATAACTAAATGTCTAAAGTGATGTGGTATATGAGCTGACTTTGTCATCTGGAGGTGGAGGGGATAGTGGATGGTGTGAAACCTTAGCCTGTTTTCATTCCCTGGGCGTCAAATACTGCACCTTTGTCATGAGCGTGATATCAAAGCCGAAGGCAACCTTCAGTGTCTTCATGAGCCACACCAGGCCGTGGGTCAACTAACTAGTTGACGCTGAGAGCAGCTGATGTAGTACAAAGAGTGAGAAAGTTCACATAGGGTGGGCAGGAGGGGTGGAGGACTGGTCAAAAAAAACAAACCTTTAGCCATGAAACTGCAGGTCAGTCAGCAACACTTTAGTCAAAGAAAACTTTATCTCCATTTGCAGTATTATCATTGGCGGTATGGCTCTGTTCTGGGGCCTCTCTGCCTATGCAGAAAGCCTCTTCCACACGCATACGTGAAAAGCCGGGTGTAGGTGGTGAGTGCACACTTCCCTGCCCTTCCACGTGCAAACAAGGAAATCCTGTGGCAGACAGAGCAAACCTCTCTGCCTTTCCTAGGCCTATGCAGAAAGCCTCTTCCACGGGCCTACGTGAAAAGCCTGGTGTAGGTGGCAAGTGCACACCTCCCTGCCCTTCCATGCGCCTACATGGAAAGCCTAAGAACTTTTTGTATAGACCCAGTTGAATATTGCCATAAAAGTGTGTAGTTATCACAAAATCCCAAGGCACACCTGGATTGGCATCACAGCACACCATTGTGCTGCGGCACACCATTTGAGAATCACTGCGCTACGAATGTAACATATCCATGGTTTGCAGAAACGTTTTATGCCAACAATTTCCTCTGGCGATTGCGTTGCTTTTCATACGGTCTGCATTACCAACATGCATCGTGACCAAACAGTTAATCTGACATCCAAAACTCACTCAAACCACCAAGACACTTCATACATGTCTCAATATGAGCTCATTCGACCTTCACACTGGCAACAGTTGTCACTCAGCATACACCGTCACTCATAGCACACTGACCTAAAAAGCACTTACAACAGGGAGCATCACATAAAGGATGAACTCCTCTATCTTTAAAGATACAGCTAAAAGCTCATTTCCGCCAGCGATGCAACGGCTGATAAAGTAAAAGATAACAGTCACTGACAGGAGTCTTACCCTGTGCAGTTTTTCTCGCCGCTCCTCACCGTCAGGCATGCCTCTCAGGCTGGGCGGGATGTACCAGAAGCAAACATTGGTGTGCTGGGGCTGCGGACAGAATTAAACACAGGTCATATACACACACAAATACAGCGAGGCTAAACGCCAAGCGGACTAAGCTCGCTGAAAAAAAGAGAAAGAAAATTGTACCAGCTCACCTCTCCATCAAACACCATCTGATACCCCTCCCTGTTCTTGATCTTGTTGTACAAATACTGAGACAGCTCCAGACACTTGTCAATGTGCTGCTCAAACCCAATGGTGCCCTGAAGGGAACAAACATTAACAGAAAACAGTATGAAGCCACAGCATGACTGTTTCTATGACGGCATTTATATGAATTGTTTAAAGAGCAATATGTTTTGATGTGTGTGTGTGACTCTGTCCATTTCACCTTGGCCTTCCACATGAGCCAGAACTTAAAGATGTCGACGTGTCGGCCACACTGGATCGCTTTGTCGCCTGTGTCGTAGGTGACGTCGTATTGTTTGTCTGGTTGGAACAGGTAGCCTGCACACATGGAGTTACAGCCTGCCAGGATCCCCTACAGACACACATAAAATACACACCGTTAAAGGTCAAGTGTGTAGGATTTAGTGGCATCTAGCAGTGAGGAGAGCTGAAACTCACGTGTGTCAAGTGTGTGGGTGAACTGCTTTACGCAAAAACGCAAATGGCCCTATCTAGTTCTGGTTGTTACTAGTTGTACTGCTTACATTTTGAAGTACCATTCCCTGCTGTAGAGTGAGTGACTAACACACAGCTGCTTAACAGAGACAGCAAACCAGCTCGACAACATGACCAAATGTAAGTATGACGCAGAATGTATTAAACTGTGTGGACCTTGAACTAATGACTAAGGAGGAATCTGGACCCCTTGGCTGGACCAGTTGGGAACCACTGGTGTATGGTATGTGTAGATCCTTTAACAGTTTGATGACATATGTGAGGGTTGCCTGTATCAGTTAGTCTGTCTTTGTTTTCACTAAGAGGCCGTTTACACGTTGCCGGCTATTTTCATAAACGGACATTTCACCGTCTCCGTTTTCAAAAATTTCTTCGTTTATACTTACCCGTGTATATATATACAAGAGCATGCCAAACCTTTAGGTGGCAGTGTAACGAGAAGCTCAAGCCTTCCATGTATCCATTGTCACCATAGCAACATAGGTCGCACTTTTGACACAGGTGCAAGTTCCGGCGCATACTGTGACGTGGGCTGCCTATAACTCCGTTTATCTCCGTTTATCTCAGTTTATATGCAAATGCGCAACCTGAGTTTTCCAAAATCTCCACTCTGGCCGGAGTTTTTATAAAGACTCGTTTTCAGAGGAGAAATCTCCGTTTGCGTGTAAACGAAGGGCACAAATGAAGGAAGATGTCTCCGTTTATCAAAATCACCGTGTACGTATAAACGGCCTCTAAGTTGGTTATACAGAAGATTGTGTTTTCTGGGTTTTGGGGTTTCTGTTCCTGTGCTGCCTTTCCCTCCTTTGCCCGTCTACACACCTGTCCTACATCAGCCTCGTTAGTCCTTCACTGCTCCAGAGTTTTTCCCAGGCTATCAGCCTCCTGCCTGTCCTTCTGTCTAATCACCTTTATTCCCCTCACCTGAGCTTCTCCGTCCTTTTTTATCCACCTGCACTTCATCCCCTCATCAGACCAGTTTGTATTTAAGTCTTGATTTTCAGTTCAGGCTTGTTGGTTTTGTTATGTGATCTTCAGTTTGCTTTTCCCTGCTTCAACCTTAGATAAAGCATGATCTATTTGAGTTCCTGTTGCCCCCTGCATTTGGGTCCACCTGCTCCACACCTCATTAATTTACCGTTTTTTGTTTTTTTTTGGTTTTTTTTTTTTTTTTGCATGTTATAAATGATGTGGCTGTGAAAGGGTCTGTTGTGTTACTTCATTTCCTAAAACAATTCTTAACGATTAGGTACAATGCACAAATAAAACCTTCAAAATACAAAGAGTGTTGGAGTTTCCTGTACCTTCTCTCTGACCAGGATTGCAGAGCACTGCAGAGGCACGCCCATCATCTTGTGAGGGTTCCATGTGACAGAGTTGGCCCTGCAAAGTTTAATATGCATCTTAATGTACTGAGGTAGTTTCCCTGAACATTGTCTTTAAATGACACCACAGAGCAACCCACCAGTTCCCATGTACTCACCTCTCGACTCCATTGAGCTTATGACGGTGCTTCCTGGACATCAGCAGTCCACCACCCCACGCTCCCTGAGGAGACAGCACTTTTACACAAGGGTACGCAGGCAAAGACACAGTATCACTACTATCACTACCAAAACACTGCAGCAGCTGCTCCAGTGTCGAGTACTCACATCAACATGGAGCCACAGGTTGTACTTCTCACAGATGTCGGCGATCTCATTGATGGGGTCAAATGCACCGTACACTGTCGAACCAGCTGTGGCGTTCACAAACAGCGGCACGTAACCCTGCAGAATAAACAAACAGAGATAAAAGTGTTGGTTAGACTGATGAAGAAACAAACTAGAATTACCATGCCTCCACCAGCCAGTCAAAAGTTACAGTTTACATCCATGTCTGTCCAGACTTGTACATAGCCATTACAGTAGACAACACTTCAAAAATGGATGTCGCTACAAAGAAGCTACAAATTCGAAAACACAGATGCTTCGTACACATCTTCAACCCGACAGCACAGAAGATCTGTACAATCAGCACAGTTTCAAGATTAGCGTCACCAATTCAGTATCTGACCAAATGACTTCCCTTCTGTTCCTGAGATATGATGTTGAGTAATGGCCAGAAAAGTGTTTTATGCAAAACATTATGATGTCACAGTGAAGCTGACCTTTGACCTTTTGGATGTGAAATATCATCACTTCATTATTTTATCCTATTAGACATCTGTGTGAAATTTTGTCATGATTTCATATAAATTCTTGAGTTATGACCAAAAATGTGTTTTGTGAGGTCACAGTGACCTTTGACAACCAAAAAGAGTCCAAGTGGACGTTCGTACCAAATTTGAAGGAATTCCTTTAAGGTGTTCTTGCGATATTGCATTCACAGGAATGAGATGGACGTACTTCCTGACCAGGATTGTTAAAATTTTGTATTTTTCATTATTTTTTATGTTTTATTTCATTTTTAATTTTTGTTTTCAATTCAGTTTAGTTTTCAATTAGCTAGTTTTTAGTCATCAGTGGCAAGATTTTAAATTTAGATTGGTATTACAATACAAACACAACTCTTGACTCATAGTTATGTACAGTCTCAATAATGCATCATTGCCTCCTAATGCAGGCAGTCTAGAGGTGTCAGACACTTAAATGTAATGCTTTTTAACACATTTTCAAAATATGTATCAGCCAATTTAAGACAGATTTTTTGACAAAACATCTTTTTATCTCATTTAAACACTGCAGCTAAGTATATAGGTAAGTAGTATACATGTAGTTTTTTGTGGCAATATTATTATTAGGGCGAGTTAATCCACATTTTGCCAACAAGTTAATGACAGCATACGGTAAAAGACATTATTAGTTCAGTGGTAGGTTTGAAGTTTTGTAGCATCACAAACTTTAGACCTCGAGATTTAGACCTCGCAAATTCAAATTTAAGACTTTTTAATGACTTTTAAGACCTAATATGTTAAAAATTTGAGATATTTCACGACTTAAAGGACCCGTAGACACCCTGTCATGTTTGTTAAGAAGAAACCTAAAAACATTTACTGTATATTTTTATCTTAGTGTAGTTTTCAGTTAGTTTTTTTCTAAGCTAGAGTTTTTATTTCTAATTCAGTTAACTAAACTGTTTTTCACACCCAGTTTTAGTTTTTCGTTTAGTTTTTGTGAACTATAATAACCCTGGTCTGGACGTACGGACGTAAGGAAACCCCAGACCTAAAAACATAATGCCTCCGACTACAGCTGTAGCCGGCACAAAGGCAGAACAAACAAACAAACTGAAAGAAAGACAACAGAACAATGACACTGACCTTCTGTTTAGCATCGATGATCTTGGCCTCCAGATCTGCAGGAATGACTCTCCCCCTGAAAACATTATCATCACATACATGTCACACAAGTAGAATATTTTTGTGACAGTGCTCACGTACACTATTGCACATATTTACTGTGTTAACTGAGGCATTAAATGTCCAAAATGAGCTCCCCACCTCTCATCTGTGCTCAGCAGGATCACATTCTCAGTACCAAAGCCCAGGGCAGCTCCAGCCTTCTTTATGGAGTAGTGGCTCTGTAGGGACACACATTAGCTTTAATAATTCATCTTTCATTGAAACGAAGTGGAGATTTTGTGAGGTAATTGCTACCAGAGCTTTGGCTTGTTTTCTGTCATGTTGTCGGCCGTTCAGTTCTTTATAGACAAAAGCAGATCTGATAAAAGCAAAAAGAATCCATAAAACTGGCCGTCGCCTTGATTCAAATAGACCTACTGATTATCACCGGACTTCCTCAATGGCCTCAATCTAGAGCCAATGAAGCGTAGCGCCTGCTTTATTACAACACCTAAAATGGTGTGTGTGTGTGTGTGTGTGTGTGTGTGTGTGTGTGTGAGTGTGTGTGTTCACGGTCACGTACGTGTTCAGATGTGAAGAGGACAAGGCGAGGAGCAGCAGACATGCCCTTGGTCTTGACCTCGGGGAAATACTTGTAACGTGCGATCATCACACTGTACATGTTGGAGATGGCGCCCCCTGTTGAGAAGAGACACACACACATCAGCACCTTGGACAGCAGCATTCACACACACATACGCTGTAGTGCATACTGGAAATTAGACTTTTTGTTGATAAGAAAATGAATTTTTCCCCCTTCCAATACAAAATAACACACACTGAATATGTATATGAATATTATTTATGGACTGACCTGGTGAAAAGAGTCCATCTCCCTCTCCGTTGGGCCAACCAATCATCTCTCTCATTTTCTTCAGAGTCAGCTGCTCCATCAACACAAACACCGGAGCGATCTCATAGGTGAACCTGTCGGTCACATCACAGAAAATATGAATATAGCACGTCATTCAACATCACTGTAAGGGTCGAGAGATTAAAGGGACAGTTCACCCCAAAGTCAAATATTTTTCCTCTGTGTTGGAGACATCGGCCATAGAGATGTCTGCCTTCTCTTCAGTATAATGGAACTAGATGGCACTCAGCTTGTGGTGCTCAAGCCGCCAAAAAAAAGCACATCTGAAAAACTCAACAGACATCGATGTCAAGTTTTTCAGATGTATCCAAATCCAAAACAGTTTCGACTGATAAACAGCACTACAGGTGAGAGGAAAACTATGTGTTTTTGATTGTGAGGTGAACTGTCCCTTTAACAACAGCTTTGTGAGCAAGAAGAATAAAAGAAGATTCTTATGCACACACACTTGCAGATAAGAAAGCTTTAATGCACACACACACACACACACACACACACACACACACACACACACTGGTTTTTCATTAGCCTTACTATAATTCCATCCACAGAGCACAAACTGGAGCTTGTGCTGACTGGGCTAATTAAAAAGTGTCTGATAGGAGCCGGGCAGCAAACATTCATATTCAAAGGCTTTCCAAAATCACTCAGTGGTTTAATTAAAGCCCACAAAGCTCTGATGGCTATCTGTCAATCCTGCCAATCTCAGCAGAGAGTCTGAATGGGGCTGATTTGATGGCTGAGAGGAGGTGTGTGTGTGTGTATGTGTGTGTGTGTGTGAGAGAGAGAGAGAGAGAGAGAGAGAGAGAGAGAGAGAGAGACCGACAGGGGGAGTGTTTAAAAGAGATAACAGCCTCTTCTGACCCCAATATTCAGAAATTGAGGAAGACCCTATAATTGTTCATTTCATTCTTTCATTATAAGAAAGAAAAAGACCAAAAATAATATTCACAAGAAGAATTGTTGGAGAGGTGAGAGACAGATGACAATTTTTTTAAAGAAATGTTGGATGTCAGCTAACAAAAAATAAAATGTTTTGTAGCTCCTCGGACAACAACAAGCAACATCCTGGAGAAGCTAAAGAAGCTTAAAGGGATAGTTTGTTTTTTCTGAAATGGTGTTGTATGAGCTACTTATACATTGTCAATGTATTACCCAGTTTGGAGAAGCAGGCAGGAGCACTGCACAAAACTGTAATATGTTTTAGATTCTTTGACCTACATGTGTGATATTTTCAGGCAAATGGCGCACTGGATTCACTCCAAAGTCCTTCAAAACCAGCACTTGGTCAGTGACCTCTGCCGTCAGACATGGACAAACAAAGCCATCCTTTGACATCGGCATGATATGCGGCTGGTCATTGTTATTGTTAAACGGTGCCCAGTGGTGTCAAGGGGAACCACGGCAAGATAACAATGAAAGTTAAGGTGGCAAAGGTCTGAGTAGGGCAGGTTGGAACGGTGGTGGATGGGTCCAACAATCACTGACTTTCACCCAGGAGGCTGGTGTTCACTTCCTGTATGAATGTAAAGCTAAAACCTGTTCTTTTTTCCTAAACCCAACCACTGCATGTGTTGGCAAAACATAACCATGTGCGTTTATTATTAAAGGAAGAAACAGTGTTGCACCGATGTAGTGCTTTTATGTTGAAAGAGACTGTATGTAAACATAAAATTTCCTGTGAAAACAGAAGTGTGTTTTGAAAGAAGACAATGCATGTAACAGGCTGAAGTTGACACGGTGTCCCAGAACGTCAACAACCAATGCACCCAGGGTACCTTGCATGTCGTATGTGGACGTGGAAAGTCCATGACAAAAATACTGATATGTGACGAGGTTGGAGTGACAATGTGTTGGTCTGCTATCAAACACCACTTTAAGTTTTTTGATGGAGAAAACAAGTTGTGAGGAATTAAAAATGAAGCAAATGTACGTCTTAATTGTAACAGTGTGAGTTACGGTTGTAACACAGTTAAAAAACAACGTTGTATAGCAAAGGATGTGATCAGATATTGTAAAGAAATTAATGATATTCAACCTTATTCAACCTTGTTGACAAGTATTGATTACAACAACATAGTTAGCAAATTTGATCGATGGAAGTTATAAAAGTATTATACAACCCTCATCTGATTTAGAATATAATTGAATGACATCTGACTGAACACAGAGTGCATCCAGTTCCGGGACATTCTGTGTGTATCTGTGCACTGACCCCTGGAGGGTCCAAAACAAGTCACTGAGCTTCAGAGTCTATACCGACACAGTCCATTTATATCTACAAGTTTAATTGACGAAAAGCAGGCATACAAGTTATAAGTTTAGCAAGTTTTGTAATAAAGCTGTGCTCGCAAGTCCAGGCAGGTAAAAATGTAACATGTTACAAATGAGCCACTGGACGCACCTGTGCTTTGTCATTCTTTACAGACCAGAACTGGCATACATGACGTGTGGAAACTATGCCAACTGATGAAGACCAGATACAGGCAGACAGCTGTGTGGATTTTAGCTCCACAATATACAAACCCAAATTTTAGATTTGAAAAATTCACCTGGATTTTAATTTGTGTAAAACTGGTTTGAAGCCATGATGACATTTACGTAGCAACTTACAGCTGTAACGTGTAACATTTAAGGCAACTCTCCCCTGCTGCTGTGGACGGGGGCAGCAACAAAATGTATTTTAGCCATCTAAAAAAATAAAAATAAAAACCATTGTAAGTGTAAGCTATATTTAGAATGTTTTCAATGCTTTACCTTTTCGTCAGACAGCCTGCTCGGATGGAGAAGCCGTCGATGGCTTCAGTTCTTCATCTATGCTTTCGTCAAAGCCAATAGACTCCTTTAATTTTACCTTGCTGAACACAGGAGCTGCTGGTCTACCGCTGCCTCGCTCAGTTAGTTTGTTTGTGTTTTTGTGTGACTTTGGTGAATCTGTACTAACTCTTTACAACACCAAGGTCACACAATAACACAAACTATCTGATCGAGGCAGTGGTAGACCAGCAGCTCCTGTGTTCAGCGATGTTAAATCACTGATTCTGAGTCTGACTTTGAAGAGAGCATAGATAACAGTTTCAGTACCCCGTAGGTAAAGCAGTGAAAATATTTTTAATATAACGTCCTTTTAAAATGATATTGACTTTTTCAGATAATGAAAATACATTTTTCCGCTGACCCCCTCCACAGCAGTACATTGCTTAGCTTCTGTGTCGGTACTCCTGTCTGCTTCTCCAAACTGGTGACATGCCGACTGACATCTACTGTATGTAATACACTGATTATGGATAAGTACCTTATACAACCTCACCTCAAATATCCAAACTATCACTTTAAATGTGTCACAGAAAACCAGCTCTCACACTGAGGCCTGAGCTTTAGCTCTTCGCTAACTGACAGGCCATCTCACTGCCTCCCACACACGCCCTTAGGACTGATCCCTGTTTACCCTGCTTTAAAATGAGGCCAGTTACACAACACTCGTCCACCCCCATCAGCCACCACCACCACCACCACCATTACCATCTACGACAACCATCTCCTCTTTTCTTCCACTCCTTTTTTTTTTCTTTACAAGTCAGTATCTAAACAAGGACTGAAGGGATTTGGTAGCTTGGTTAGAGAGGAGCAGAGATAAAGGCTGTGAGCGGAGGGAGCTGTAGGGAAACAATGCACTGAAGGAAACTGTGACAGAGGACAACAAAGGAAGAGGAGGGGATCATATGGAAGCAGAGCGAGGGATGCGTACAGAAACGAAACAGGACAACGAGGCAAAAAGAAGCGGCAGAGAACAGGAGAGAAAATAGAAGAGAGTGAAAGCCACGGTTGATGATGGATGGAATTAAAAACACAGGAAATAGAGAAAAGAATTGTGTAATTATTCCTGGTGAGGGCTCACCCACGGGATGATTGGGAAATTAGCTTCTGGTTAATGCACCAGATCAGATTGTGAGTGTATGAGCAGCGACGATGAAAGATAGAATCACAAAGAAGACAAAATGAGTCAAATTTCAGCCTCATAATTTCAAAAATACGATGTTCTTTGATTATGTTAAAATTATATCATATAAGGGACAGAAAAATACCTAATATCTTGGATGTATCACTTTCATTTCTTCTTGTAAATGCATCCTAATCACACCAGATAAAAGGGACAAACTAGTGCACCTTTTTAAAATTCCTCTTTTCCGTGTGAGTCATTTCACCGTGTAATGACAATAATGGTGATCATTATCACAATCAGAGCCAATCATTGGTCTTTTCAGGGTGAAAATTACCCCTCAGTCACCTGCCCGTCTCCAGGGACGGCCCCTAAATGCCCTTATTATCGTCATCAAGGGCACTCAATGTGCGCGAGTCAGTTTCTGAATGTGTGTGTCTGTGTGTGACTAACCCTCTGACCCCCCAGCCACACTCTCCTCTCAGCCCCTCAAAGGAGTCAGTCTGTATCCACGGGGACAATAGAGCCAGAATGAGCACTCTGCAGGGAGCCGCAGCAGCCAGTTTCCACAGTGTGACAGGGTTTTCTGTGCAGCCGGAGGACATTGTGTGTCAGTGTGGGGCCCAGCTGGCCTATCTGCTAAGACCAGCTCACAATGAGCCTGCAGTCAATGGACTGGAAACCGTAGCTGCTGTATCTGGGACAGCCAGAGCTGGTGTGTGTGTGTGTGCGCGTGTGTGTCATTATGAAAGTGTGCGCCAGCGTGTGAATTCAATGGCCCTGTCTCTTGGGGCATTCTTCCAACCAGGAGATGAGATGGGAAAGTTTTTCCTGAGAGAGGGTAGTTTCCTCAGCTAATGTTTTGAGAAATGGGATGAATTAAGTGTCTCAATTTTGCTCCAGCGTTTGGCTTATTATCCTCACATTGATCTTTTATTTAGCAGCCAGTCTGGGAGAGAAGATAGAGGCCGCGATAATGAGAGGATACAGAATGCTCAATTTGTGTATATGAGTGGAGTATATTGTCCTCTACCCACGACTTATCGCATATGGTCTTTTTTCACTGTGCGGGTCGTGCTGTCTCTGCAGTTATACATCAGTTTGTACCACGAAACTCTGTCTCTAGATCAATGTCACCTAGAAAAACTCCTGTGGATTTGTTGTGCTTAGATATTTAAAAGTAAGTTCACCCCAGAATCAAAAATGCATGTTTTTCCTTGCAGAGTGTTGGAGATATCAGCCATAGAGATGTCTGTCTTCTCTCCAATATAATGGAACGAGATGGCACTCAGCTTGTGGTGCTCAAAGCGCCAAAAATACAAAGCACATCTGAAAAACTTAACATCAATGTCTCTTTCCTGCCAACCGAATCACTGTGTGGAAGGAAGCGTGCATCTACTCATGGACAAGAGGCACATACTGGTGACAGCATAAGATGCAATATAAGCTGATACGAAATCTTTAAAAAATGCCTTTTTAAACAAATCAGCGGCCATACTGTTCACCTATGTAATAGTATATGCCAAAAAAGATTACAAAAAATCTACACCTGCCAACTGTACCACAGCCCAGAAGGAAGTGTGCATCTACAGCTAGCACACCTAGCACCACTGAGCTAGCTAATGTTACAGCTCAGCCGAGAAGGACGCCATTCATGTTTCACTCGCTGTCACGAACACGAGCCTCTCCTTCATGAGTAGATGCACGTTTCCTTCTGTGTGGTGATATTACTGGCGGGTGTAGTCGGCGTTGTACATTTCTGTCAACAACGGATATGTTATATTTGTACAATATTACATAGCGGATATGTTGACACTTTGCATTTCAAAAATGCTGTGGTTAATGTGTGGTTAGGTTCAGGCACAAAAGCCACTCGGTTCTGTTTCGGAAAAGATCATGTTTTGACTTAAAATACCTTGTTTGGGGGGCAGAGTACTGACAAGAAAAGCAGAAATGTTTTAGTGAAAAACAACTGGTTTTCATTCCTAAAAAAGCTGCTGGAAAAACAGTCGCTACAAAACACTCATGTTTGGTGTCTAAAATGCTGCTGGAGAAACAGTAATGACTCGCTTAAATTGTCATGTAACATGGTTTCAATAACATGCAATGCCAATTGTTGTCTGGCAAGTGGGGTGAAAAAAAAATTTCACCATGAAACTGCTCACAACAAGGTCTGTGGATTATCTTGAGTAACCAGGTCATGATTTCTGGAAAGAGACATTACTGCTGAGTTCTTCAAATGTATTTTTTGGTACTTTGAGCACCACAAGCTGAGTGCAGTTTAGACAGTTTTTTCTTGGTGTGATTTTAGGCTTTTGGGAAAGTGTGATGTGTTCTCAATATTATTTTTTTTTCCACATTTATACTGAATAACTAAACAATTGATTAAGAAAATAATTGGCAGATTAAATGATAAAGAAACAATGTCAGTTGCAGCCTTACGTAAGAGTGCAGTTTCCTTGGAGTCAGTCCTCATACTGTCAATGTGGCTGTCAATAAGCATCTAAAACATTTTGTAGGTGTCCACAGTGCATAAGGCAGTCATTTCTTACTTTTGAGCAGTGTGCATGTTTTGGTAAATATGAAGTTTAGCACTAAGCTTCCTCATTTCCATTTTGACATGTATGCTGACTGTAAAAAAAGAGAAACCATTACTGGTGATTGAATGCAGACCGAATGGGATAAGTAAATGATATTGCGCTGTCACGTTTTGATGGTGATTGCAAGAATAGGACGCATGCAGATATCTTTATTAAAGTGAATTAGTGATGATGAATGAGTCATGCATCAATAAAAACGTAATTTTACAAATGATGATGAAGATACAGAAAAATAGAAATGTGTGGCAAAAAAGGCCTATTGTTAATATTTTAGAGAACAAATTAAGTTTAGAGAGGAGATCAAAGCAGGGTTTCTACATGTTAAGGTAAGTTATATTTAAGTTGTTTTTTATGTCACACCAGTCTCTTTAGTCCTTCCCTGTTCCCAGAAACCTCCCTTTCACACCTGTTCTGTATCAGTCTTGTTTGCTCCACCCTAGTGTTCCCCTCCACACCCTTGTTGTTACCCCATTTCCCTCCTTTTGCCCGTGTCCTCCTACTCCAGCTGTGTCTCATTCTTATGATTAGCTCTCTGTGTATATATACCTGTATGTTTCTCTTTGTTCCTTGTCAGATTATCTGCGTTTATTCCTGTGCTCATCCCTGTGTTGTTGGTGTCATTCCCTGCTCTGTTTCCTTCCTAGTGTCTTGTGTTAGATTTGGATTTATCATCGAGTTCATCGTATTATCCCAGTGGGTTTGCATTTTAGTTTTCGTTCTTCTTTCATTTGGACTTTCAGTTACCTGCCTGTTCTGGATGTTTTTTTTATCAGCTTTATTAAAGCTAGCTTTTTGTTAAAACTTAAACCTGCCTGCTGCACTGCGTTTGATATCAGTTACTTTGGCTCGGACGATTTTGCCCAGAGGATTTTTCTAACAAAACATGACATCATTGTGTTTCTAACTTTGCATCTGGGATTTCACTACCTTTATTCCCATCATGCCAAGTTTGAAAAACTTTGAAATACACAGAGCTTCGTATGCATTGCTTTGTATCGGTTTCAGCCATGCTGCCAGATCTGGTTTAACAGCCAATTTTTGCTGCATTTGCACTTCCTCGTATCATCCTGGCTACAGTGATGGCTAACTAGCAGACAGTGGATCCTTTAATCATCTCAGCTGGAAACAAAATATAAGTGTTGGTGGTTCCACTATTCTGATCTGCATGACGTTTATACAAGAGACATTTGTTAAATTACTTTTACAGAATAGATGTTACCAATTATTTTTGAGCTTTTACAATTCAGTGAAACATGGATTCATAAAATTCTCCTTCCCTTGTCTGAGCATTTTAAGACTTTTTAAAGACTAATTTAAGACATTTTATACCAATTAAGGCCTTATTTTTTAGGTTAATGAATTAAATGCATTTTAAGACTTTTTAAGGATCTGCAGCAACCCTGTATTAAGAGCTGTTTTGAGTTTATATCTACTCAAATGAGGGAATCAAGTTAAAACGATTTATTTGTCCCTTCGCTGAGAGTGAACTGACAGAGCTGTAAACATTAGGCTCTGCACAGAAATGCTTGTCAATGTGTGTGTGTGCATGCATCTGTATTCAATACTCTGATATTGTACTATAATATTAGTGTGATGTTCTTCATTTAATTCCAGTGATCATAAAACAGAGTTATGGCTTATTCACAGCATGTACTATGTGTGTGTGTGAGTGTGTGTGTGTGTGTGTTGAGAGTGTGTGATGTGGATGTGGTTCATTCATGCCCTCTATCAGACTGGGCCACCATGTAACTGTGACCTGAGATCAATATGCAATCTAACCACCCCTGAGGCTGGGCTGCATCCGATATACAGTACAGCCTTCCGTCCATCAATACACCGTCTCAACAGGACAAACCAAACACTTTATATAACTGCCCTCAGAGGCTGTTGGGACACATGCTTGTGACTAATTGTGGAGCGAGCTGAGGGGAACAAAACAAGCACCCCCACCATGACTTTATATGAGTGTAACCACTGGGGGCTGTTTCCAGTGGCCTACAAACTGGAAGTTGTCCTGTCGTGACATGAAGAGGTGTTTCCCTTGTGTAGATAATAACGGTGTCGTGTTGAAGGTCAAAAAGGACAGCTGATGGTGTTTATCAGATTGTGACTTTAAATAATAAGGTGATTAAACAAGTTGTTTTTTTGTCCCTCTGGGGCATCGTATCAAATGTCTTACAAAACAGCTCAGGGTGAAGTTTGGGTTCCGTTATAGAAACAAATGCTGTTTCTCTTTTAGTGGAAGCAAAAAACTGGTTCAAGTGACGCTTTTATCCGCACTTGATTATGGTAATATTTTATATATACATGCAAATTCATCTTCCTTGACAATGTAAGATGCCGTGCTGCGGTTTGTCTCTCATTCTGATTTCTGCTCACATCACTGCAGTTCGTATGAGAACAGTTTGTCTTCTTTATCCTCCTGAGACCAGAGCTTTTTGTTTGCTATGCATTTTTGATTTCTCCAAGCTATTGGAGAACAGTGACATATGTCCTCATATGGGGACAATGGGTTTATTTTTAATAGTCACAAGTGTGTAATGTGTTTCATTCATATTTCAATACCTGAACATTGTTGAGTCAAAAGCTCGTTTAAGATGAGGCCTGCGCGGATTCGATCACTGGCGACTGCTGCACAGTGCATGGCAGTTAGTTTTGTGTCCGACATTTCGACATGCTCTGACATCATACAAAAGCGGACAGCAATAATCTTGTGAGAGAGGCGGCCGCAGTTTTTAGAGCCAGGTGCTGCAGTTGCTCTCCACCGACAGCAAGACCCAAGGCATGATGGGAAACGCCTGGCTTAGTATTCTCTATTTTGGTGTTTTTATATTTTAAATTTTTTTTAATGTGCCAATTTGTGCCTTTTCAGCATTAATTCTGGCGTCATTCTATCTTTAATGTGGTCAAAATAAAAGTCCTCTGGTATTTTCATGTTTTTACTCTGGGGAGCAAACATTGATAGATTGCTGAACAGGCCTATTGAGCGCAAAGTGTCAGAGGCACCTCTGACCTCACCTGCAAAATCTCACTCAATTAACCCCCATCGACCAGGGGACTCAATATGACCGCAGAAAGATGCAAAGGAGCTGCAAAGAGACACAAAATGACTACAAAGAGACATAAAAAAGGCCAAAAGGTGACACAAAATGACCACATACAAAATCACCCCAAGAAAAAGAGACGCAAAACCACAAAAAGATGCATAATGACTGCAGATAGATGCGAAACAACAACAAAAAAGAAAAAGCTATACACCTATAAAGTCTGTGTATCCTCCTTTGAAGGAGAGGCGGTGGAGCCTTTTGCATATCTGTGCCCACTGTCTCATAAACCAGCCATGGAGATAACTGCAAATGTTCTACAATAACCCAGTGTCATTCCAAAATCATCAAAATAGGTACAAGACTTACATGTTGGTGTTGGCAGTGGAGGTGAGCCACTCTCCAGCCAGACCAATGATGTCCAGACCAGAGGACAGCTGGTTGAAGAATCGAGGGTGACCTGAACAGAGAAAAATAAACACAAACTATCTTAACGGCTTTCTTATTAACAGGGCTGCACTGAGGGAATCATGCCTTACATAAAGAGAAAACAGTCACAAAGAGAGCCACTAATATATCTGCCTTGTCTTCAGTAAATTAGCTTTATGAATAAATACGACTACAATGTCCTGCAAGCTAAAGCTGACTGCCTAGGGGAGACCGGGGCTGGTTGGCACACAGCTTTTCTCAGGTCACAGAAACAAAAATGTAACACATAAAATTTTGCTTTCTTCACCTGAACTCATCTACTATGTTAAAACATCTGAAATTCACTCATTTTTTTGGTGAGTGTCATTTCAGTTTCAGTTAACAATCACGACTTTCACCCGGGAGAGTGGTGTTTGTGTCCCGTAAGCTTATATAGCCAAAATCTGTTTTTTTCCCCTCCTAAACCCAACCGCATGCGTTTGTTGTTGAGGGGGAAAAAAACCTCAATTTGCAGTGTTGTACCGACATAGTGCGTTTATTTTGAAAGATACTGTATGTAAACTTTACATTTCGTGTGAAGACTGAAGTGTATTTTACCAGCTCAGTGGCCTTGTGGTAGAGTGTCCGCCCTGAGACTGGGAGGTCGTGGGTTCGATCCCCGGCCGGGTCATACCAAAGACTATAAAAATGGGACCCATTGCCTCCCTGCTTGGCACTCAGCATCAGGGGTTGGAATTGGGGGGTTAGATCACCACATGATTCCCAAGCACGGCACCGCTGCTGCTCACCGCTCCCTCAGGGGATGGGTCAAATGCGGAGAACAAATTTCACACACTCAGGTGTGTGACAATCAGTGGAACTTTACCTTTACCTTTACCTATTTTGAAGGAAGACAATGCATGTAACAGGCTGATGTTGACACGGCTGCTGCTTGGAATACTCTAACATACATTATGCCTGAGAAATACAGCAGAGAGGGAAACGTGTGCCAACCAGCCCCGGTCTCCCCTACATCTGACTGTGAAAAAATAAAAAACATAAAGAAACAGCTCCTCGTTTGATTTTGTATTCCCCTGGTCAGCCATGAAACCTCAGGGATCTGACAAAGCACTGCTCAGTGTACATAATTACACTGGTAACAAGGTTATATGACAGCCAGTTAGACTCTGAGGTGCCTGCATACACAGTCATCGTCAATAGGCCCGGAGCCTGAGTGCACTCATGGATATAAGCACCTTGTGGAGGTGGTGCTGTACGGCTCGCAGTATAAATATCTGTGCAACATTACATCTCAGTTCATATATAGAAAATAAATCTAATTTTAATCACAGCGCTGCAAAGAATGAGCCGCTTTGTGTTTCAGCACCGCGGACAGCTCCTCCAGCAGAACTCCACAAAAACCCCCTCACCGTGTCTGTGGATGAAAAGTGGTGTTGAGTTGTAGACACAGCAGACCCTACGTGATATATAAAACCCAAGGGACAGTTTGAGCGCTGTCGGTTTTAACAGCTTGAAACAGTCCATGTTAGGATCCCCTCAGGCGACACTTGCTTTAATAGGCTAAGTCCAGGGTGGGTGGGGAGGTGTCAACTGAATTACCAGGGGGACAATAAATAATAGGTTGTACACTATCTGGTAAACAGCTTCTTCTCTAATGGTGTGTGTGCTGACGTTGTCTCTGCATAGTAAAATTGTCAGTATTGATAAACCTGAAGGTATGGTTTTTTTTAGAATTTATGTATCACCATTTTGGGGAAACTACCATCAGAGGTGTCAGGGACTGTTCTTTATTTATCAGATAAGGGAGGTGGCTAGGGTGTGACCCTTTTGTTTCTGATCCTTCCCAAAGATGCAAATATTCCTTGAGCCTCCCCAAATGACCGGCAGAAAATGCATGACCCTCCCTCCACCAGTAATTAGTTAGTCCCTTTTACTGTTGAAAAAGAAAGGCCTGTCTCAATTAGAGGCCTGGTCTGGTTGCCGAGATTTTTTTTAAAGAAGTTCTTCAATGTATAAAACCGGGTGGTTGGCTACCTCTAATTATGCGTCCATTCCTCGATTACCCTGTAAGTCATTTATATTCCTTTAGCCCATATAAGGGTCCTCAGATCAACAAAATTAAAATGGTTTTTCATAAAAATTTATCCAAGTTGTGAGTGTTGTTTTAAAAGGATAAAGTGGTGTTGTGTCGGTATGCTGGGTGCCGTAATCCTCTCTCTGATGTGCTGTCTGTCAGAGCCAGATCAAATAATTGATTCAGAATTATCTGAAGGCTAATTTCTAAACAAGTAATATTCATACTGGCTTAAATAAACAGTTTGATTTCCCATCTTTGCTGATCAGCAGTGTTGTGTGAAAGGAATTAAAGGCCTGTCCCAAATATAGGCCCGTTGGTTTCACTGATTTCAGCAAATAATATAAGTTTTACGGTATAAGATTTTTTCCATCTTTTGATGTTTGAAACGTAAAAGTTAAAATCCTGGACTTCAAGAAGAGACTCAGTTTTTCATTCTTGTCATGCATGCTGGTTAGTTCGTGCAAGCAATTTATTTTTGGTCAAATTTTAAATGAGACTGAGATTTTGATGAAATATCTCTATTTTAAGCTCAATTTTTTATTCATTTATTTTTTTCTGACAGAAGTGTTCCTTGCACATGATGTGTCCAAGGACCATCGGAAATTTAAAAATCCATCCCCATGTAGCCTTGCCGCAGTGGCCGTGGGTTTGATTCCAACCCTCAGTCCTTTGCTGCATGTCATTCCCCTGCTCTCTCCTTCCTTGATGCTATAACTGTCTTATCAATTAAATGCAAATAGCCCTCCCAAAAAAATCAAATATTTAAAAAATATTTTTTTAAATAAAATCAAAAACTGTAACATAAATTAAATTTGAAAAATCTAAAATAAGAAAAAAAATTTAAAAAATCAAAAATTCAATTTCTAAAAAAATAAAAAAAATGCCTGTTTTCTTGAAAATCAGCAGCAGAATAAATACAAAATACAACCCTTTTAAATTTGTATGAACCTCCCCTACGCCAAAAATAAAAAAATATAAGCCCCTCCCCAGTGCTTAAAAAAATTGTTTGACACCCCCCCAATCATGTAGCCTAATAACTATAACTGTCAAGCTCGGATATGATATTGAGCTTTGTATATGAACATATGAAAATATCCTATCTTGAACTGAGAGAGTAAAAGGTTATTATTTTGTATTCCAACACCTCCCTGTCTCCTTTTGATATTCAAAATAACACACACCATCATATGAATTATTCAAACCAGCACATTTATAGCTCAGCTCAGCCTTGAAGGTGTCCCTGTCTCCTGGCCTACCTGTCCTGACGCCATATTTGAGCGTGTCCCTGCAGTCCACCAGGATCTGCTCCAGGGACTCGGGCTGGTCGGACAGCTCCAGGTTGAAGCCCTCCATGCCCTCCAGGAGCTGGTGGGGGTGGTGGAAGTCCAGCACCTTGGTGGAGCGGTCAAAAGTCTTCTTGACGTAGTTGGTGAGGATGTCGACGATCTCCAGCAGAAACTGGATGGTGGGCTCCTCTCCATTCTTGGCTGGCAGCAGGTCTGAGAGGTGAGGAGGGAGACAGAGGGTCATTTAGCCTGAATGATGGAGTTAGGTCCCGCTTTGTCGAGCCAAGAGCGAGTTAATCACCACCATTTAATTGAGTGCTGTAATTAGAGGACACTTAGTCATTCTTTTAAGCCCAAATTTGGTTTTGTATTCCTAACCAGTTTTTGCTGGTCACCTGGCTGTGTGTAATGATCCTGGTCGACATGCACTGACAACTAAGTTTAATATCCTGCATATGTGCAATATAGGCACTGGATTTGAAACTGAACTTGAATAACATAATTTTGATGATATAATCTAACAGTAGAGCCTACTGTAGCTTTGGCTGATGTCATTAGTCACTACTGCATATCATCTTTGGTCATACATTTTGGCTAGTGAGCTTTAAACTGAGAAATGCACCAACAGGTGAGCCTAATACTTGTCACCTTACAAAAAGAAATGTAGAATAATTTTTTTTAAAAAAAGAAGGTGTATGTTACTGTTTGAATTTCAGTAAGTCAACTCCCAGTCTCTGATTTTTCTATGTTGTTTTAATCATTATTATACCTCTAATTGTGTCCTCCTCTAAAGTAGTGGTTCTCAACCAGAGGTCCGGGGACCTCTGAGGGGTCCTTGAGGGATTTCCAGGGGGTCCCCAGAAAAATGGGGAATAGCCTAGGTTATTGTCAACATTTAATTCACTATAGAAGTGACCCCAATGTGAGTAAGAGTCATAAGTAGGGATGCACACATCGATATGGCTGATATTCTCTTCGTTGACTGCCATTAGCCGGTCATAAAATAAAATTACATTTACAGATGGCCGATGTTTTTCTGTGGTGTCACTTCACTTTTGTGCAGGCTACAAAGCAAAGCTCAAGACAAAAACATCCAGGGGACAATAGAAAAGGTTTTGGGGACCTTCTGGACACAAGGATGCAGTAAACAACATGTCAGAGGACGCACCCTATTGTTTCTCTGATATGCTACACTGTGAACAACAAATGTGCCTTGAATTCAGCAGGAGGAGAGCGAGTTAAGTTGGCTCTAACCAGCCAGAACTGGAGCTAACAGCTCATGGAGGCTGCATTGAGTTACATTATGATGCGTTCAAGCTCTATTCAGTAAAAATGACCATTGGGTGAAGATAAATTGTAATTTACTCATGATGCATTCAGTATAATCCTGTAAAATGTAGATTTGGTGACAAATTTGAATAAATACATTTGTTTGAAAAGAGAAATGTGTTGTTGTTCACAGCAAAATAAAATAGATATTAGAGAGGGAATTATAATATACAGTAAAAAAAAGCCTTTTGAGGCAGTTATTTTTTAAAAAAGATTTTCATGTAAAAAAAAAAGAAGGTTTTATTAAAGGTTGTTTCTTACATTTTGCAGTATTGAATTTGTGTTCATTCAAAGGTAGTGTCATTAATTTTATAATAATGAAGATTTATTTGTTTTCCTGGTGTAAATGGGGGAATAACAAAACAAAACTAACAAACAAAAAACAATCTGCATCAGTACTGGCCCAGAATTTTACAATTGCTGCATCTAAATTAATAAGACATACTATTCACATCATAGGTTTTACTTCCTCCACGGTTATCTCCTCAACTGTAGATGACAAAAAATAAAATTCTGGTCTGAATCAAATCTAACATCCAAAATCTTTTCAGATGTAAGTCCCTGCAGCAAAATCTTATTAAAATTGGGGTCTGTGACATAATCTGTATCAATTTAAGGGGTCCTTGACACAAAAAGGTTGAGGTTAAAGGTTTTTTTTTTTGGTGGAGTTGTTGTATGCTGTGAAGCTATCTGAGGCAAATTGTGATTTGTGATATTGGACTTTTTAAATAAAACTGAATTGAACTGAATCAATTGAGAGACTGAACTTTGTATAAAAAAAATAGTGGAGCTCCCCGAGGCCCCGTTCATTTCCCAAAGGTGCAAAATGGTTTAGTCCACTCCTGACTGCTTATCTGATGGAGCACCAACGTTCATGTCTTTCACTAAGAAAGAGAAACTGGGGCTCTAAAATTAAAATAAAGACAGACAGGACAGGGAAATAAAACAAACTGACGTGTAAAAATAAAAATAAAAATGTGTGTGAGAGAGACATGGCTCAAGAGTGGAGGGGCAGGGGCCCCACAGAGACTCCTTATGCATAGGGCCCTGAATTTGGAGCTACACCCCTGTGGGAAAGTTGACTTTTATTAGGTGTAAAAACAGTATTGTAAAGAAATAAAAGATAATAAAGCCAACAGCTAATAAACCCTATACCTCACACCTTTAACAGCTTTATCTCAGCCACTGTAATGTCAAGTAATGAGCCGGTGACTAATGAGACCATAAAGCTCTGATAAAGCACACATTAGCTTATTTTTTAATATTGGCTGTGACGTATCTCTCACCTCTGGCGAACAGGTTGGAGAAGTCGGTCTCGGTGAGGCGGAAGCGCGCGTCCCGGTCGCTGTTGTCGCACGAGAGCAGGTTCTTCTGGCCCGCGAGCCTGCCCTTATCATCCAGGCTGTTGTTCTTCTGCAGGAACCCTAAGGTGTTACACGGCGGAGGGCAGCAGTTATCACCAAACACATCCATCCCGCACACAAGACGGAATTATGAGACCAAAATATAATTAAAAACACAAATAATAATAATAATAATAATAATAATAATAATAAATGTCCAAATGTTCTATAAAATTCTATAAATATGAGGCAGCTTTTGCAAAATATCTATGTTGTGCAAAATCAGCTCCTGACGCCCTGAATTCTTTCATGAGAAATGTTTTTCTGGTGGAGGCCAAACCTATATACACACAGCTAGAAGAGGGACCACCGTGGGTGCCCGCCCCACCCTGTGGCGTCACAACCGCACCCCAGTGAGTCCTGATCGGCTCAGGGTGATGATGACCCACACAGCCAATAAATAGGGGTTAATGAAGGATGCAGACTGCCTCCTGCAGGGCCTATAAACTCCATCACTCATCAGATGTCACACAGGCCCTCTGTATCTGCAGCATGATTTGTGTGTGTGTGTGTGTATGAAATATTCCCTCTCACAATTTCTGCAATGGAAACTCCACAATACCTCGCTCATTAAATCCTAAATGACGTATTCAAAATCAATATTTGAGACCATCGAGCTACCGAAGCCTCCATAAAGAAATATTCCCATTCAATTCCATTCCGGTTCATTAAAATGTCATTTAGACCAATCAAAATATAATGGTCATTCTCTCACTCTCAGAAATGGCAAACTTATTCGATCCTTGGGTCTTAATTGATTTCTGCCATAACAAACAGGCCAGTAATATCCTCTTTGGCATTTATTTCCCTTTGCTATGGCTGCAGGAAATACACAGATCCATACATTTTATTTTTGTCACATTCCTTTCTGCTGCAGCGTCACACCGTGCACTCTTTGCTGCAAAGAAATATCTGAATGAGGAATAAAACTTCTCCTTTATTTACAGATTATTCTGAAGGGCGTTATAACATATATTTCCAGGCCTGTCTCGAGGATTTTTCTCTCGGTGGTGAGATGGAAAAAGACGTGGGGGGTGCAGGGGGCGGTCGGGAGGGTGATCATCATCAGACCTACAGGCTAATGTCCACTGACCTTTAGAAGATGGAAACACGCTGTGACAATAGTGGAGAGCCCTACTCTAATAACAGCCTTTATCATGGTCTATTTCAGGCCTCAATCCGGGGTTATTTATTAAAAATAAATAGAAATAATAAGAGCTACCCTATGAAGAAACATTTAAAGGAAAATAGGCAGAATGCATATCAAATTCCCAGTGGGAGATAATCATATCCAGAAGATTCTGGTCATCCAAAATTGCATTTGTGTCAAAACTGTGGCTGAAAATATAAGATGCGTAAATGTGGAGCGTTTTGTGCGCCCACAAAAATAACTTACCACAAATCTTCATCCCCAGTTTCCGTGTGCATCCGTGCATCCACGCATATTCGTAAGCTAAAACAGAATGAACGTTTGAATTTCTGGTGTGCAGGCCGCGGAGACAACGTGGATGATCGGATGATGGATAGAAAGCTGGTGGAGCACAGTGAGCACAGTGGAGGCGTGATGCGCACGGCTCTTGGTCGGGTGTGTGAGTCTGAACACTGCAGGGTGGTTTATAATATTTTTATACGAGGATTTTTTTTTGTCTCTGAGTGGGTCATGCTTGGCTGCTAATTTATCCACATTTTTATTTACCTCAGCACCCACTGATCATAAGGGGATGCGTCTTATAACATTTCCGATTTAAGTTCAATCGGCCCACGCCGGCTCACACACCCAGCCAAGGGGCGGACTGGAATTAACACCCGTGAAATGAGCTCACGGAGGAGGGCAGGAATTAATTGAGTGAAACACAGTATGTGACTGGAGCGAGCTGGTAATGTCCGTGGCCGGAGAGTCTGGGCTGTAGCCGGCGTGATGCAGAAACTTATAGGCTAGTGCGTCTCATGCATACACACTCCCACCCACACACACTCACACACACACCCGAGCATGGACATGCGTGAGCAGAGATGGAGCAGAAGCCAGAGGGAATAAAATGCAGGGCGCGCAGCGGCGGCGGCGGCGATGACTATACACCTGATGGAAAACTTTCAAAACAAAAACAAGTATTTAAATTTACTGAAGCAATTCCACTCTGAGAGAACAGCTCGGGGTGTGCTGAGGCCAAGGCACACACACGCGCGCGCGCACACACACACACGCACACAGAGGCGCGCACACGCAGACACAGACACTAGAAGCCGCCAGGCGTGAGATGGAGCGTGGAGGAGAGATAATGGCAACATCCAGCAGCAGTATACGAGCAAGTCAAACAAAACAAACATCTTCTTTGTAATGGGCTTTTTCTCGGGACAAATTCCACTTTTGAAATAAGTCTAACATTTTTTTTGTAGACATATTTATCGACACCCAGGGGCCACAAATAAAAATCCAACTTTATTCGATAAGGAGAGAAAATATGAAACTGAATCGTGCATTGGGAGCTCGGGAGCTTATTTCCTTTTACATTTGACCGAAGAGAAAAAACCTGTAATGATTTCCCCTGCGTTGCACTGCAGATGGCTGCTCAAGTGCACCATTATGGGGTCGATTTTGTGCACGCGACAACGGCCCTAAAATGATGAATTAACCCCACAGGTTAATGTTTAAATAGGTTCTGCCACATTAAAAAAAGCAGCGGATATTTCTCCAAGAGCAGCTAATCTATGCAGCCTCGAGGGCCCCAAACATCCTGGGGAGTGAGATAAGATGAATTATGACATCGATAAAAATTGGCATTTTTTTGTGAAATTGTGGGAAACAAAAAACAAAAGGAAGATTTCAACCCGGACACTGAGGCGTCACTGCGGGAAAACAGGAGGGAAATTCAAATCAGGGTTATATTCGATCGAAAAATACATTTTTATTTTTAAAAAAAATGCTCTTGGATCATTATATATACCAAAGCCTTGATGGCGTATTACATCAGCGCCAGGTTCGCCGCTCGGTGCGCACCACTGATCCGCCAGACAGCGACAGGCAGCTGTGATGGCTCTGTTTTTAACCGGAATGATTAACGACGGAGCACACGCAGCAAATGGCCCGGGCGAGACTCGCCTTTATCAGACAGGGAAGGAGGGGAGAGGCAGACAGAGATGTGTGTGTGTAGGGGGGAGCTGCATGGCTTGAAACCTTGCGTTAAGTGTCTTTGAGCAAGGCACCGAGCCCCTGTCAGCTCCAGCGGGCTGTTTCTGTAAGCACAGCCTGAGCGCTCCGGAGAGGGACAGCCTTAACGAGAATTTACCCTCGGGGATCGATACGGGATCACGGTGGTATTAACAGAGGAAGGAGTGTGTGAGGACGTACTTGAGGACGGAGGTCTTAAATTGGCGGAGTTGGGGTCCTGTTCCCCGCCGGTGGCTCTCGGTTCAGACGTTGCCATCAGTCTTCTGTTATCTGATCTCCAGCTGGGGAATTATTCAACTGCAAACAAATGGTCCAGGGTTAGGAGCTTAAAGAATACACACCTGAAATATAGATTTGTCAATTTAGATCAGGGATTTGATCAGCAAAATGATCCACTGCATGCAGGAACCATTTATTCCCGATGGAGAGGTGGTTGAGCTGAGCCGCTCGGTTTGGAGAGGATTGCGCACGACGCACCAGCAGTACGCACATCAGGATGAATAGCCTTGGTGATAACATAGCGCCTATGTGGGCACATTCATTTTGGAGATAGCCTCCAATATTTCTTGCATTCAACTGGCCATTAAAGCCTCACAGGGCTGCTGTATCTGACATTAATGGGCAATGTAAAAGATAAAAATTTAAGTTATCAGAGAGGTACAGATATAATAAATATATATCTTGTTCTCGTTATACTGGAACAAAATTATATTTTTCCATAGATATCAAATGTCTCTGTCCCTGAAATTTCTAAAAAATAAAGACAAAAAGATTAAAAAAATATGCTTCAAATTTAAATGAGTAGATGACAGGACAGATTGATCACATCAAAGCTGAATTATTAAGTAAACATCAATAAGATGCAACCATAAATAACATACATCATTTACCTATTGACTCTGCAATCGACATTTCAATTAAGTTGCGCTTTGAACAAGCACATCCCATAATATCATCACTCATTGTCACCGTGGTGTGAGAGACAGACTGGTCACTTAATGAATTCCTTCTGTCACTCATCTCTCTTTCAAACGGCACAGCGAATTATATCAGATTATTTGGTTAATTTTCTCCAGAATAACTCCGACGTTACAATCACCTGTGCGTCTGTAAAGGAATATGAAGCCTATACATGTATGAAGGGCGCTGGTGAAATGAAAGGAGAAGGCATCTTACCGGCTCACAGGTTGTCGAGTCCAGAGAAACTATAACTAGATGGTACAATTGCCACCCAAAGGCGCGACAAGGAACAGTCCAGTGATGGCGGAATACCAACAGAGCGCACTAATAAAATCCCATCCAGCGGTGCGCAAGTGACCCTTTCTCCCTCAAGAATATTTTTTTATTCGTTATTTATATCTCAGGCTCCGGCTGCCCATTGGTCTCTTCACGCAAGCATGAGTCACAGCCTTGCCTCCCTCTGACGACTAATGAAGCTTCCCTGAGTGCTAGTGACAGCCACAATCCACTTTAAGAAGCAAAAGAAGCAAAAAAGCAAAAGGAAAAGCACCAGTGACGTATACCCACCCCTCTCTGTGTGTGAATGTGTGTCTCCAGGTGTGGGTGGGTGTCACAGGATGGAGGATGGAGATGTGAAATGTGTTTAGAGCAGGTTACACAGCAATTGACCTTGAGACGGCAAACACAGTAGGTTTGTGGGTTTTAGCAACAACAGATATACATTCAGAATTTATACATCCCAGTTTCAGTGGAGCTGTGGGGGCTTCGTATGAAAGCATCAAGTGAGATGACAACACTGCATGCATCATAATTTTTGTGCCCTTTTAATAACCTTGACATGGACAATAACACTGAGACATCAGAGGGAATCCAGCCTGGAGGGCATTGACTTGCAACCCAATCCTCAGAAAAAATGTTGCCATTGTACTTTTCTGCAAACCACGGCTATGTTACATTTGCATGTAATTATTGAGCAGATACATTAAAACTTTATGTTTCAACAATGCTGTGGTTAATGTGCGGTTAGGTTGACACACAAAACCCCTCAATTTTGGTTAGGAAAATATCATGTTTTGACTTTTAAATAGCCAGATTTAGAAGCACAATCCCTGCTGTAAACAAACAACTGCTTTTCCTGCTACTATCCCCGCTGGGAAAAAAACACTGGTCAATTAAAAAAACACCCACATTTGGGGGCTGAAAAGCCACTTAAAAAGGAGCAACAGGTTGCTAAAAAACACCCGCCTTGGGGGCTAAAAAGCTGTTGAAAAATCACAAGGGGGAGTGAAAAAAGACATGTTTAGGAACTAAAAACCCACAGGAAAAACAGCAACAGGCCCCTAATAACACCAATGTTTGGGGGCTAGAAAACTGCTGAAAAAACAGCTACAGGTCCCTAAATACACCCACATTCAGGGGGTAAACTAGAGGGAAAAACAGTGACTGATCCCTTAAAAGCACTCATGCTTGAGGGGCTAAAAAGCCACTGAAAAACCGACAGGGGTAGTAAAAAAAAGACCCATGTCTGGGAGCTAAAAATCCACAGGAAAAACAGCCACGGGTCCCTAAATAATGCCCACATTTGCGGGATAAAAAGCCACAGGATGCACAGATACAGATCCCTAAAAATACCCATATTTGTGGGATAATAAGCTGCAGGAAAAACAGCGATGGGTCCCTGAAAAACACCTACGTTTGGGGGCTACAAAGCCATAGGAGAGTCAGCCACAGGTCCCTAAATACACCCACAATCGGGGGCTAAACTGCAGGAAAAAACAGCAACAGGTCCCAAAAAAACACCTACATTTGAGGGCCAAAAAAAAAACAGGAAACACAGCAGTGTCCCTGAAAAACACCCCTGTTAGGGGGCTAAAAAGCTGCAGGAAACACAGTGATGGATCGCAAAAAACACCCTCATTTTGGGGGCTAAACACACAGCAATGACCTGCTAAATCACAACCACTTTTTGTTGGTTCTCTAACAGTGGTCTGCAGCTTGGCAGCCATCTTGCCTTGGTGTCACACCATCCACCATTACCTCCACCTCTTGATGACAAAGTCAGCTCATGTACTACGTGACTTTACAAACACTGACATGATACATGTGAAACGTGTTAATGTAACATATTTGTGGTTCTCAGAAACATATATTGCCAACGTTTCCCTCTGTGGACTGGGCTGTGACTTATTGTCATCCTAATGACTGTGTCCTGGGGCCTGTTGTTCGAAAGTAGAATTAACCAATCCAGGATATGTGGAAAAGCGAGGCTGGACAAAGTCTCATAAGTCCATCCTGGCTTAATTGGTTGTTCGAACGGCAAGCTAGGCTGAGGAGGAGCGGCTATGTCAAGCCAGGTGTAACTTATTCAGGTGAGTGCGCGTCCACGGCTTTTTTAAATAGACCACATGGGTCGATCACAGTTTCACTGATGCACCAATGGAGAGGACACGTGTGGCTTACTTCTCACCCAGTGAGCAACGTGTCATCAGGGACACTTATGAAGAGGTTAAACACATAATAACTAAAAAAGGAAACAGCAGCAATTATTAAGCAGAGAGAAAATGTGTGGCAGACAATAGGGAATGGGCGCAGTGACATCACGATGGACGTCGCCGCCATGTTGATGGCTATTGGCAGCTTCGCAAATGTAAACAAACGCAGTAGTTGAGTCACATCGAGTGCAGAAAGCGAGGAGAAAGATGTTAAAATGCCAGAAAGGAAAGGGAATTTACCGGGATACATTAAACCATGAAGCCAGGGACCGGTATATGGAGAAAATGAATGCTATAAATGGTTTGGACCCATACAAAATTCCAAATAAAGAGTGGAGCAGTGATGAGGAACTACTGCCACAGTTCTGTACAACAGACATCTTCGCCTACCTCGTGTGTGGTGTGAGTGCCTACACTTCGGAGCAGTTCCGAAGTTGTAAATCATTGGAGTCTCATGTGCAGTTCACAAATGGATGGGTGCAGGAGCTTCAGATTTTTAAGCCGGCAAACAATGTGAACACCGTCATTCGGTCAAAGGTACGTGAGCTAGCTTAGTAACTGTTAGTGCATAGGTTGTAGCGTGTACACATGCATGCTTTTAACTGTTTGCTCCACTCTTTATTTGGAATTTCGTATGGGTCCAAACCAGGCCTGCAATTTCGTCATTTTAGGGGCAAGGTCACTTGGCCTTTCATGTTGTCAATTTTTTGAGGGCACATAGGCCAAAAGCCAGGGCAGCAAGACCATAACATAAAACAATGATTTTAAGTCCACGTCCATAACGAATTGAATAATTTAAGGACTAAGGATGTATAACTATCTGTGAAATTAATAAATAAAACAAGCTCAAGCAAACAAGAAATTTTTAACTTTTAATTCATTTATGCATTTAATTATTTGCACAAAGGTCCAGTCCTACGCCAGATTGTCTCAGCTGCAAACACAAGCCAATAGGCCTGATGGTGGCGCTACAGCAGTGTACAGTGTGTTTTAAATATAGAACAACCAGGTTCATGTATTTATAAGCAAACAGTCTTAAATATTAGGCCTAAATATTTTTTGAGTGTACATGATAAACTGATTCATTGAACAAAACTGGCTTACAATTATTTTTGATTTGTTGCTAGACAACAAACAAACAAACTACAGTATATCGTTAACTCTTGAAACATAATTTACCATTCACCTCCTAAAAAAACATCCATAGTTTTTAGCTGCATCTTCAAAGCTTTTGTTAAGGCACCTCTCCCTCCGTTGCTTGCTTGGAATGATAATTACTGGGGGTAAATGAATAAAAGTAAATGTTATTGTTTGAAGCTAGCCACCGGTGTTAGCCTACCTGGCTTAAAAACTTGACAGCAAGCTTGCACACGTTTGTTGACGTTAACCTTACAGGCTACGGTAGGCACGTTAAACACTGGGTCAACGTTGTAGCAATATACTGTACAGCAATGCGTACTGCGTAAATTTAACGTTAACTATATACTGAAATTCCTATCTTATTCGTTTGCTAATTTATCACAGTCGTACCTGAGCTCCGGCAACTTTTTCCCTCTCTTCAGTCTCAAACCCAAAGTCACAGCCTCGCGGACACGGACACACGGGGGTGGGGGTGGGGGTGGGGGCTTGCATTTGAAGAAGTCTCCTGATTGGCCGATGAGTGATTGGTGTCAAACTGTTGTTATAGCCCAAGCGGTTCATGCCAGGCTTGAACAAACCCACCACTGGTGATGTACGCATCGTCTCATTTGATGTTGCCCAGTAAGAATCCAGAATGTCATCAAAAGACGCATTTTTTTTCTCAAAAGACACGGGTGTCAAAGCCATGTTGACAGGAAAGAGGCAAAGGAGAAAAACACAAAATCACCTGGAGCAGTGTGGGCGGGGCATCAAGGCCACTGTGGCCTTAGGGCAGATATTTTTTCAAGGGCACAAGGCCAAATTAGGAGGGCATGAGGGCCATGGCCCTTATGGCCCTCTGAAATTCCTGCCCTGGTCCAAACCATTTATAGCATTCATTTTCTCCATATACCGGTCCCTGGCTTCGTGGTTTAATGTATCCCGGTAAATTCCCTTTCCTTTCTGGCATTTTAACATTTGTGACAAATTTGTGATTGGACGACAGAATCAACATGGCTGCCACCGTCTAACAAGCGCCGCTTCCAAAACAGTAAATAATTATTTAGGTATTTGAGAAATAAGTGGATAAAACGTACAACTATCACTTTATAATGTTTCTGAAGTGTTTCCCTGATGGATTACTTCTCTCCACGATGGATTCCAAAAACACGTGACAGCTCGTAACTGCTGAACGTTGCTCTGGACTGAAAGTAAGTCTATTATTACACATGTAAAGTTCCTTTACATAGATTACAAGTTTAAAAGCATTAAACGTAACAAACGAGTGCTTTTACACTCGTATGGTAGAAGAACACAGAGGGTTGATGATGGAGCTGAAGTCAGGTTTTTATTGTGAGAGCTGCTTCATTCAGGTCGTTGTTTACTCACTGGCACCTTAACTGTGGCGACATGCTGTTCAATATTCAGCCAATATGACCCAAAATGATTACTTTAAATCCGGGTTACGGTTCGGGCTGCGGGTCGTGTTTCAATGGGTCGGACCAGGTTGCGGTACTAATAGGCCTGATGCGCGGGTTTGCGGTTCGGGTGCGGGTTTGTACATCGCCGGGTCGGGGCGGGGCGGATCTTGAAAACTGGACCCATGCAGGACTCTGCCCCAGATTACTCCCAATAGGCTATTGTATGCACCCTGTGTAGTAGACTGATGGCATTAGTGTGTGTCTTAGAATGGGTGAGTGAGCAGCTGCACACTGCTTAACGCTTTTATCTTAAGCGCTTTATAGCTACTGTAAAAATAAAAAATTAAAATAAAATCCTGCTATAAGCAGCTATTCAATAAAAACTGGTTGCCTACCTGTCCTAACCACAACTAAGTGGTTTTTGTCTCTAAATCTAACCACATTAACCACAGCGTTGTTGAAATAAAGAAACATAAAGTTTTACGTAATAATGTACAAAATGTAGCACAACTGTGGTTTGCATTAACGTACAATGCCAACATTTATCGTGACGACTGGGTTGCACAATGGGAAAGGTGACCAACAGCTACATTGGACCTTTCTCACAGCAGACTTTTGGACTTTTCATGTCAGGTACAGCACAGATGAAGTCAGACAATGACAGAAATATGTATTTGCTGTTTGGAGAAGATGGGGCTCAGTTAGAAAATATCATGTTTAGCTTTAATTTTTTTGTATTTCCAAGTACAAAAGTTTCCAAGAGCCTCAGCTTTGTCCACAATAAATATTTATTAGCAGGTTTTCACACACATCTACATAATGCACAAAGACTGTGCAAAAAAGTTTTGTAGATTAAAATAAATACATTTTTCCAATAGTTATAAGATGTTGTTAGCAGAGATATCTGGTGACAAGAACTAATGTCTCCTTTTCAGGGGGCGATGTGAGAAGGAGGACACGGCTTGTGTCTGTTCACTTGCTTTTCTTCTTCATCGTCATCTGATGGTGAGGAGGAGGAGCAAGATGAAGAGGAGCAGCTTGAACTCTGAGATGACTCCTCGTTACTCCCAGAGTCGCTGTTATCATCATCGTCATCTTCATCTTCCTCAGTGCTTTGCTCTGCCTCTTGCTCTAATGGAAAAAAGGCACAACACAAACTCGTGTATGAAATTTCATACCAACATACTATTCAATACACTAAATGTCATGAGGAGTAGAGCCGTTGGACGCAAACGCAGGAGGCTGCAGACAACAGGAACTCGAAGAAGTAGGTTTTTATTCAAGGTTTGTGCAGACAAACAACAACATCAAGGATCCAATAATAACTGAACTGAAAACCAGAACTACATACAAACTAATGTGATGAGGGGATTAAGTGCAGGTGGAGAGATGGGTGTAAGCTCTTTCACACTTGCCCTGTTTGGTTCAGTTCAATCAAACTCGAGCTTGTTTGCCCCCTAAGTGCGGTTTGTTTGGGCAGGTGTGAACACAGCAATCACACTCAGGTGCGCACCAAAACAACCGGACTGAGACCTTCTTGAAGAGATGGTCTCGGTCCAGTTACAAACGAACTCTGGTGCGGTTCGTTTGTGGTGAGAACGTGTTCCGACCTCGATCTGAACCAACTGCAGTCACATGACACATTGTTTGGGTTAAACATGAGCATGTTACAGTCCTGGAGGATTATTAATGTGCACCTCCTCCTGTACTGCCTTAATATGCACATTCAGCACATCCAATGCATCAAAACATTGTTTTCTAGTTGGAGCCGTGCCTCGTTATCAAACTGTATGGTTTGACTAAAATGAACAATGACAGCAATATAGTCCACGATGACCAGCGCTAAAATCAACCTGCGTAGTTGTCCCTCCATTGTGACATTAGAAAGTGTCACATTTATCTTGCAAGTGTACTCTTCTTCAATGTTTTGTTTACTTCCTGGATTTTTCACACATGGAAATTCTGACCAATCAAGAGCAGCTTTCTCGCACAAGGCATTTGATCTGGTCTGCTTGTAAATGCTGCTGTGAGAACACAAACCAACTCTAGGCAATTATATAGCTTTGTGACAAAATGAGTCCCTAATTCAGACCAAAGCAAGATAACTCTAGGTCTGAAAGCACCCTAACTAACGCAGAGGAGACTGTGACACTGAAACAGTATGTGAGATTTTTTAGCGTCCATATCTTTGGTCTGAAACCAATAGTGTGTGAATTGCATTTCATTTCCAGTGAAATATTACAGTATAACACTGGACTCTATACTAGAATAATAAAAACCCACAATGCAACGAGGCACTGACGACAGCTTTCAACTAACCACTAAATTATACATAATCTAGATGCTACATATTAAAAACCAGTGATTTTATCATGCAACTATTGGACTAGTTGCTCAGCTTTTCCAGTAGGCCAAATTTAAGCATTATCTGGTGACCAAGATGACAAGTTCGTCTGTGGTTTGCCCTTTCTGTCAGCCCAAGAACTCCTACAGATGTATAGAAAAACCAAAAACTCAAGAAATTCACAACCAAATCGCCAGAAAAAAATGTTGGCATTGTGCATTTCTGCAACCCACAGATAGGTATGTAGGGGATATGTTGAAATGTTTATGTTTCAACAACACTGCAGTTAACGTGTGGTTATGTTTAGTCACAAAAACACTTTGTTATGGTTAGGAAAAGAAGGCATAGCCTAAATTGCCTGACATAGGGGCAGAATCACTGTTGGAAACACAGCAACGTCATAGTAGAAGTGCTTGAAGATGCCGGTAGCGATTACTTTGGCACAGGTTATCGTGGTTACGTGCCTTCAACTGGCACAGATGCTCTTAGGAAGTGACGTTGTAATTATAGCTCAGATACATACAACTGTTAAGTCTCACAAAAGCATGTTGCACATATTGGATATGTAGTGTGCAGTGTGTGATTTCAGACGCAGCGTTTGTGTCTGTATGGATGGACTCTCCTCTCACCCTCCAACAGCTTCTTGTGGATCAGTGGGAGAAACTCAGAGGCCTCAGGATTGTCTGGCTCATAGATGAGGACTGGAATGAGGAGAGAAGGGCAACGTTGGCTGACTTCACCGGTGGCTGGTTTATTGATTGACAGACATACGGGTGATGGCTGCAGGATACATACTCATCTGACACAGCTTGCTGGCCAGCTGAAAGTCTCTGTCCATCACAGCTCTGAGGAACTGAAACCACACATTTTCATCTGAGTTTCAATTTCCAGGAATATCCAATGTTGAGTAACATGACTAAAACCAAGGATTCAAATGATTTTTTGGCATTTAAAATAAAACTAAACGACAGTTTATCCCGCCCTCTCAGCAGAGCATGAGTGTGGAATAACTTTACCTCCATTATCAGCTCCACTGGTGCCTTAATGTCTTCATCATCAGCGTCCTCTTCCTCGGTCTGTTCTTCCTCTCCAGGTGCGGAGGGAGGCTCAGCTGGTGGAGGACAATGCATCGCTCCGCCTGACAACCATTAAAACCATCATCAGCTTCTTTCTTGCCTCATTTCTTACTTTGCATTTACAACAACATACCTGTTAGTGCTGAGCCTGGAGTCTTCCTCATGTCTTTCATTTTCAGCTCGTCATCGGGTGCTGCAGTCGACTGTCTGTGTTCTTCAACCCTGTAATCACATTTAAGACTTAAAACTGAGTGTTGGTGATATTTCATTTGTCTGATCACCTCCTGTGTGAATTCAGGGTACAGACCTCTGTGATATGTTGATCAGTTCCTCTGGTGAGCGCTCTGCAGGTGAACCACAAACATACAAGACATTTCATTTAGACAGCAAAATCCTTGCATTGATTCTAAATGTTTTTCGGCACCACAGATAGTAGTATTTAAAGGGAAAGTTTGGATTTTTTGAAGTGCAGTTGTATGAGGCACTAGCTTAGAGAAGCTAAGAAATGTACCGCTATGGATGGGGGCAGCAGCAAAATGTATTTTAGCCACTTAAAAAAAAATCAATATCAGTTTAAGTGTACGCTATATTTTGAATATTTTCACCACTTTACTTCGGTGCAGACAGCGTGTCAGTACTCCAGTCTGCTTCTCCAAACTGTGTGCATGCTGACTGTGTTCTGCTGTAGGTAATACATTGACTATGGATAAGCAAACTTGGAACCCATCGGCTATTGGTCTGATGATAATTAGCTACTTGGGCTGAGGGCCAATATTTCAGCGGATATCCAAGTATATAATATAAAGTATAAATATTCAACTCACTCTAACAGGCTGGAGTAAGGATGCACGATGGTATCGACACATCATCAGTATCGGCCAATATCGGCTTTAAAATGAACTATTACAATCGGCCAACATGCCTTTTCTTAATTTGCACAATTAATAAATATTACCTACATTGAAAACCACTGTATTTCATGTCTCCATCTGCTGGTGTGCCATCATGATAAGAGTATGCATATATAACATGATGTTAATTCCACTACAGAAGAGACCCTGATAATTACTTAAAAAGACATTGGAAAAACAGTTGATATATGAGTATCGGTATTGGCCCCTATTCTGGAGATAAGATGAGGAAAAATGACACAGATAGTAAAGTTTACTTTTGGTGTAACCTGACTTTGTTTGTGAGTCATTACATTTCCCAGAATGATTCTGATTAATTCAACAAGCATGCACATACGCATTTATCCATTTATCCATGTGCTTATGGGTGTAGCAATTGCTAAAAAAGTGTGTGATATTTCTCATTCATGATGAGGCAAAGCATGCACTCCTCTACATGTCTGAGGGTTGCATTGCATTTTTGTCCTTTGAGACTAATTTGGGTTAAGACATTGTTATCCTTGCATGTTCAGACACAGTCTGCTCTCTGCTTAACTGTGAAATAGAACTGATGAGGTGAGTCCACTGTGAGATATTCTGTCAAGTTTATGCTGTTTGTGTCCACTTCCTGTTTTATTTTTAAATGTGTTCTGATTGCTTTTAGTGTTCCTTTTACTTCCCGAGTTTTCCCGCCTTTGTTAATTACTTCATGTGTTTCACCTGTGTCTTGTTCCACTCACCTGTGTGTAGTTAGTGCCCAATGGTTGTGTATTTAAAGCCCAGTGTTTCCCCTATCCAGTTGCCTGATTGTCATTGTTGCCCTAGTGTGTCCATGCTCTCCAGCCTTTTCCTTGTGTTTGATTCCTTGGTTTTTGACTCTGCTTGGATTAATGGACTTTGCTTTTTGTTTGATTTCCTTTTCTGCCTTCACGTGTTTGACCCCTGACCTCCTAAGTAAAGATTTGGATTTGATAAACTGTTCTTGGTGTTGAGGGTTTTCCTCTGCCACTGAGTCCAGTTTTGTACTCGATCATTACACACTGTCACATACCATCTGAATCCAGCACTTCCCCACTTGGAAGCCCAGACTTTTGAGTCTCCTGGCAAGAAACGTTAAAGAAATAAAAGAATTTCATTACAGCAGTGAAGCAAATCATGTTCCTGTCAATCCAGTCTTGGTGCCGTCTATCTCAGAATGCCCACCTGTACAGAACGAGGCACTGCGCGGGCAGGAAGGCTCCTGCTGGATGCAAAATGGGAAAAATAAAGATACTGGATGAACATGGTGTGTTACGACAGAAATGTATATTTGTAAAGATGGAACTTTTCTCACCGAGGTTTATCAGAGACTGCCTTTCTCTCCACTTTGTCTAAAACATAAAATATAATCATGAAAAAAGGTGGAACTCAAATGCATTCTTGTGTCTCATTATGTCAGTCTTAAAAAAAAAGGAAGTAAGTCTGGATGTGATGTTTTGTTGACGGACTTGAAGTCTGAATTACGTCTTACCTTTGGGTTTGTGCGTCTCAGCATGAGCAGAGGTGACTCCTGCTGCCACCTACGTCCAGAGATCTATATTAATAATCATACAGTGAAGTGTATTTGTGTCTAACAACACAGAATATCCACAATGTATATTTCATACATAGAATATTAGAGTGTTGTAATAGATCAGACATGTTGACTCTTTTCTGTAGTGTTTACCTGTTTCTGTGAACTGGTGGACGATGTCCCCAAACACTCTANCTGTTTCTGTGAACTGGTGGACGATGTCCCCAAACACTCTAACCTGGACATCAAATCACAGCAGTGAAAAAAATGTAAATGTCTGTTTGTAAATTAATTTGCAGGGGTCATAAAATCCTAATGTTTCCATACGGGGTTAAAGTTTATATGTGGCACTTCAGTGTTAGCTAGCAGTGGTGGAAGAAGTATTCAGATACTTACGTAAAGGCACTTATACCACGCTATGAAAACATTCCTCTACAAGTAATAGGCCTCCATTCAAAACATTACTGAAGTAAAGGTATATCTCAGCAGAAAGCACTTACACTCTGTTTTCCTATTCAATCTGATGTTTTTGGATTCATATAACTGCTGCATTAATGTGTAGGCCTATATGTTGTATTTTACTGCTGTTCATGTTTAAGGTGGAGCTCATTTTAACTCCTTTATATACTGTTGGGTAGTTTAATCTACAGCAATGCATCATGGTCTATATGATCTTCATATGTTGGTTAAAAGTCAACTTTTCATAGTGTCAGAAAAACAGCCCAGTTTGCAGCTTTGTGACGATTTTGTGTTTGTGTTAATTTTCCTGCTGATCGAAGAGGGTTTTAAAGAGTTTATTTATCTTTAGAGGAATGAGAATTGTTTTAATACATGAAGGAACACTTCATCCTTCAGTTCATCACAAACTTTCAACATCAACACAACTGGAGATTCATAGTTTTCACTGGACAGGAAGGGGATAAAAAAACTGTCATCTGGAAAGCAACTAAAGCCATCAGACAAATGTAGTGCAGTAAAAAGCAAAATATTTATCTCTGTGATGCAGCGGAGTAAAAATATAAAGTAGCATAAAATGGAAATATTTAAATTAATTGGTACAAGTAGCTTCTGAGCAGTGGCGTATGGTAGTTCGGATGGGCCTGTGCACACACTCTGTGCGTTCCAATTCCCATACTACCACGCTATATAGTATTCCAGAAAAAGATTTAGTGTGTCCCAATACATAATATGTCAAATGCCGTATGCCAAAAATACCAGGATGTTCTACTCCATCTGGTCGTATTTGGCAGTATGCAAGCCAGCATGCTTTTCTGGCTATTCTGACCCACAATCCTCTGCACAGCGAATGACACGTTACATGGCCTGAGCTGCAAACAGATGACAGTTGACAGCTGTCATAAAGTCACAATGACGGTTGACAGCACAGTAACAATAGGAATATTAATTAAGTAAAAATAATCACATATGTTACAAATAACAACAGGGCATAACTATAAAAATAACAACAGATAACTGCAGAAGTAATTTCACTTTTACAAATATGTCAGAATCTACAATCTGTGCAGTTATAACTTTAAAGTTAAACTACTGTTGGACTAAGAGTCTCATCCTACTCTCCAATGTGCTATGTGTGAGCTCAGTCCTGCGTGTTCTTTAATGAAGCAATAGGAGAAGATATTCGGTCTCAGTTAATGTAGTTTATTAAGCAGTAAAGGAATAAAATTAAAACAAAACACAAAAGTGAAATGCCCCAGGGCAGGGTGAAAGGCTCTGGAGCAAATCATAAATTTGACTCCTAAATACGAAACATAGTCAACACCTCGACAGGACAGGGTGAAAGGCCCTGGAGCAAATCATAAATTTGACTCCTAAATATGAAACATAGTCGGGTGTAAGGCCCTGGAGCAAATCATAAATTTGACTCCTAAATATGAAACATAGTCGGGTGAAAAGCCCTGAGA